GATGATTTTAGGTAGTAAGCACTTGCTTCATATTTGTGTTAATTCCCACAATAATTTGATTTCGATTGTTTTGTTTACAAGAGTCGGAGGGGCTCGAGTTGAAACGAACGTGGGCTGAAACTAAGGAGAAGTGGAGCTTAGCTTAGTCTTCAAACTCGAACTACAAACGGAAGCCAATTAGGTTGTTAAACCGGATTAACGTGATTTGTTAGTTTCTGTTTTCTTCTATAAGAGGAAATAAAGCTCGTCGTCGTTTTCTAAACGAGAAATTCTTGTCGAGAGAAAGTTTGAAATTTGTCACCACACTGATAGTGATAAAGTCAAACTTGTAGGGAGTAACAAGTAACAACGGTCGTTAAATGTTGGTGTAAAACCTAAAGCAACTAAAATAAAGTTATTCCAAGAATTGGGAACAGGTTTATTCGAGTTAATGTATACATCTCGAATAAAATATACTTTTGGTACCAAAAGAAAAAGAGTAAGTGGGAACAGTTTGATTCGCGTTATATATTATACAACAAAAACCTTTTGAAAAAAAGAGTCATACAACGTTGTGAAAGTATAATGTGGCTCATGATTTTATTGTTTGACTTTTTTTGTTGCCATGTTGTACCCGTTTTCTTCAAAGATACTCTATATATAATTTTCCGAAAGGAAAGTTCGTATGGTTATGATAATACGAAAGAATAGTTTTCAATATCTTAATCATTATCTCTAACTAATCCATAAGTTCACAACGCAGCCACTCGTTTTCATACCAGCTCGTGTTGATGTGTCATGTGTGTGTGTATCTATTTTCTATTTTATTTTTGTCTCGATCTGCATATCTCTCTCTATCTCCAAATACACAAGCGCCAATAAATTACTTGGTTGGTGGCAAAAAAAAAAAATATATAAATCGACTAGTCTCTAAGAGTCAACATTGTGTATATTTATTGTGGTCAATCAGTTATAGATTTCAATTTCATTTGCTAATTTGTTGATCTTTATAATCGAACATTTGTAGACAAGAGTGTCTCAAATCAATATCAAACATTACTTTTTTTCCGAAATAGGAATATGCTCCTACAAAACATTAAAGCTATCCACATGAAAAAAAAACAAAAACAAAAAAACATTAGAGCGCTTATTTAATAGAAAAATGGACATTTTGACTCCTGAGTTACATGTTTTTAAAAGTCTCTGTTTTTATGTTATGGATTTGGGCTCCAACTCGTTTTGGCCCAAAAGCTATAAAAGAATTGAAATGGAGATACTATAATGTGAATTGTGTGTTCAGGTTAAGGGCTTTAAGGGCCTTACCAATGAAGAGCCGCTTACTCATGTTTACGTGGGCTTTTTATCTTTAATTTAATTCACATTTAATCTGTTTACACTACAGTCTTGTAAATTTTTTTTTTTCGTTTAACATCAGAAAATGATAAATTACACAAGTGAAAAATATTCAGTCAAAATGTGAAATCTGGAATGATAGTTTCACCATTATATTTGTTATGAATCTTGCACAACAGCGAGAAAACGAAATAACTGGAAATTGCGATTACCAACAATTATTTTCTCCGGAAGTGTATAATTATATGCTATTGGGTCACTTCATGGTTACAAATCAAAACGCTGATTATTGAAAACATATGGAAATTGTAGAAGCATTCTGATATTTGATGGTTTATCAATCAGAGCTAATGAAATGTTACTTCCATACAGCCCCAAGTGAATTTTATAGTATATCAAAGCATCATGTCGGTCCCTGTGTTCTAGTTGAAACATTGAACCCGCGACTTATCTGTCTTTCAAAGTCCAAACTAAAATAATTTTAAAATATAAACTACTTTTTCATCCTCAATCAAACCAAAGTTCGAACAGCATCACCACATTCATAGTAGCATATAAATTTATCAGAAATTATAAACTATATATGCTTCTTCAGTTTTTTTTGTTGGGTCTTAAAATTGGTACAATGTGTTTCCTTTATAGTCCGTAACAATAACTATTTAGATCTCTTGCTAAGCGTTTGATTGACTGGTTTGAGATTTGAACAAATTTAAACCGTTTTTTTTTTGTAATGACATATAACGTATTTGAATATTGACCGGGTGAATTTTATAATAAGACCGGCCTCAGTATTCAAATAGAATTGTAACAAAAGGTAACAAGATACAATTGTATTTACGACAAAATACAAGATACAAGTGGAGTCATGATTAATATAATTGTGAAGTTTAAAACAATATTAAATCTCATTTTGTATGGTTTTGCATGCAGTCTATTTTTTTTACAACCATATATATATGTATACAAATATATGTAGAGATAATTAGGATTTAATTGGTTTTTTTAAAGCTACTCTTCAACTAATTTTGGAAATACAAATTTACAAAAGAAAAAAAAATTCACAATCGACCACACAAAACCATTAGAATCAGATAATACAAAGTGAATTAGTTTACACCCATTTGAAATTTAATTGAGTTTCAAAATTTACGGTTGTACCCAAAAATAACTAGCTTTTCTGTAGGCATATACAATACGTATTACAATATTTTTAATCGTAGACACAAACTTTGGATACCAAGAGAGGCGAATATGAAAGTATCCAATGGACCAAAAGAAGGCAAACACAAAAAGCCAAAGGAGAGGTTGAGTTGCATTATTTCTGGAATTTTTAATGTAATCTAATCTATAAGATATGTATAATTATTGTACTACTTGTTCATTTTCTGTTACATTTCGAGAATAATCATTAAAAAATTAAATTTAATACTACCTCGATTTTCTTATATATATGCATGTCTACGTTCATTTTTTTACTTCAGACCATATAATATAATATTCCTAATTCTTGTGATGCATCGTGGTAATTGTAGTGGTTAGTGGAACTCGAACTTCGATATATGTTGTGTTGATGCAAAGAATTTGAAACTTGCATTCACCTTTCAAAATAAAAGTAAACATATAACTTCCAAGTTTTTTTTTCATTCGAACTTTTAATATAACTTCCAAGTCCCGAACATATATGATATATCCATTTGATAAAAGATATTTCGATATAAATTAGATTTAAATTTTGACCCCCTGAGTTGTAACATAATATATATCAAACCAGGACCTTCATATATTCACCTTCTATACATATATTCAACTTTATGTAAGTAAACAATTCTTAGAATGTGTGTTACAAACAAAAATATCAAATTTGTAAACCAGTCTTAAGCATATCCTAGAAACCCATCGCTATATTGAACTTAGATCCAAATCTAAAGACTGTGTAAAGTGACAGTCATCATTTTCGTCATGATGCTCATGCGCTTATATTTGACTCATGAAGATTAACGAAAGAAAAGCATGTAAATAGAACTATAATCAAATATTCAAATGGATGGTAAAATAATAGAAGACCAAAATGATCAAATGGATGTTAAATTTGATAATAGATATGCATGAGAATCATAGCTTCAACTGAGGGTCCCACAGACAGAGAGACAGTGGTCACGGACTGTGCTATCGTCTTCATCGGGAAATGCCAAAAGATCCTCTCTCTCATATTAGTACAAAACAACATGCAACATGCTATGTTTGGTCCAACTTGTAATTATGCCTTAATCATTTCTTTCGATCTATTTCCTTAAAGGCTATTCCCTTTTCTACTCACTTTCTCGATAGCACAAACCAAAAGAAGAAAAATGGAAGCTCGGACTAGTATAAGTAAGAAGAAAACTGAACTGTACTACATTTCAAGAAATCCAACGTGCATGACCAAATAGATTTGGATCGAAATTCATTATTTTCAGATCTGTCTGTACGTTTTTATGCTCAAATTAATAGCAAAAAAAAAAAATCGTGAATGAAACACGTTCTACTACATGAAGTAATACTAGACTATTATTTGCTGGCTTCTGGATTCAATTAGTGACAATAGTCAAAAGATCTTAGATTTAGTGTCAATATATTGATCGATACCACACTTTGACTTCTCTTGGGTGTACACTTAATTACATTTCAACCTGATCACTTTTTAAAACAAACCAAAATTCCCTTTTCTTGGCTTAATTATGTCAAGGAATTATGAACTAATTTGGACTTCCAATTAAAGACAAGTTAATATAAAATTAGTTGAAAAGAAATACAAAAAGACTTTTTTTGAGTTCCTAAAACTTTTTGGCAGTCAAAGATAGTGCTCTCTTTAAAAAAACGGGAACTTTTTGCATCTACCTATATGCTTTGTTCTTGGGACACAAACATTTTCCTTTGCCAAATACAATTTCTTGGATGCACCACACTTTCATTTTATAATAAAATAGGAGTTGAAACTATGTCCCATTAAATTTTATATATAGATTGAAAACCTAGGAAGTACATATCAACGTAATTTTTTTCATAAAATGGCATTGGCAACTAACTCTATCAATGAAGTGTTCAACTTTATTATTAAGTCCATAACCTTATAAATTTGATATTATTAACAACACACAACAAACAGAGTAATAGAAAATTAACTAATTCAATATCGAAACAAACACAAAAAGGTTTATAGGGAAAAAAAAACTATAAAGCCTTTTTTAATGACCGTAATGTATAACTTTGCTTCTACAATCGTTTAAACCATACGAACTAAGATTTTAATAAATTGAATAAATCCAATAATTAAGTATGCGTAAACAACTGAACAGACATTAATATTTTTAATAACTTTTCATATAACAATATCTAAAAATATTAATTTAGGATACTCAGTAAATATCTATACATCCTCCCAAGTTTCAAACAAACCATAGGTGTACACATGCACGTGTGTCCATGTAAATGCGAGAAAGGAAGAGGCCTTTTCGAAGAAATCACTACTATTATTTAAAAAAAACAAAATTAACTTTCCCTTTACAATTTTTTTACAAATCGACTAGAACAAAATAAAAAAAGTAGAGATCTCTATAAGAACATCTCCCAGATCTCTCAATGTTATCTTTTTTTTTTTTTTTTTTTTTTTTTGACAGCCTCTCAATGTTATCTAGACAAAGAAACACCTTTATTCTGTATTATTATTTGTTATTTTTAATAATAACAAATCCTCTTTCAATATAATCTTTTTATATAGATATACCTTTAGTGCCTTGAAAATTTCTTCCTCATCTTCTTTGGTCTTTTCTTGTCATTTGGCATAACCAAAGAGTCAAGCATATTCAAACATTCCCAAGCCCTAAAACCCAAAAGAAACTTATATGCTCTTGTTCTTGTTCTTCTTCTCTGCCTACAAAAAATCCTAATTAACTATCTCTTTTGTTTGTATACTGTTCTAAATCTCCTGATCATCTTCTTGTTTTCTTGCAAGGTTTTATAAAAAACAAAATAACAAACAAAACCCAGTTCTTGTTCCTTAGCTCTGTTTTAAACCAAAACAAAAATATGCAGATGATTCCAGGAGATCCATTTTCTCTTTCATCTTCCATGGGAGGGTTTGTCCATCAAGAACAACACCTTCATCATCTTCAGCAGATCCCTGACCTGAACCCCAATTCTAACCCTAACCCTAACCCTAATGCTAAACCGACCTCTTCATCAGCCAAGAAGAAGAGAAATCAACCTGGCACCCCAGGTACTCAAATCCATCACCATAATATGTATACTCACATCTATGCATGTGTATGTGTGTCATATAATTGTATATGTATTTCTACATCTCATACTTGTATATATGTGTTTCTAGGTGCCTTAACATACATATATGTAGACGTATACGTCCGTATCATAATTAATATGCATACATATACGTGGAAAGCTCCATGTTTTTGTGTAAATTTGATTTCCAATGAAACTAACATTTAATCCAAAAAAATGCATATTTATGTTTAGCTGAAATAATCACAAAGACATTTTTTTCACATATGCATATACATCTATATATATATACCTTGCTTCTATGTCTATATTTTACCAATTGGTTATATCCGGATGGTCCTTTTATAATCTCTAAGTTGTACATCATTGAAGTCATTAGAACAAAATATGCATTACAAAAAATAATGATACATCGTATTTAAAAACATATATATGGATAGATCCAGATGCAGATGTCATCGCTCTATCTCCAACAACACTCATGGCGACGAACAGATTCGTCTGCGAGATCTGCAACAAAGGGTTTCAAAGGGATCAGAACTTACAACTCCATCGCCGTGGCCACAACCTTCCGTGGAAGCTGAAGCAACGGTCCAACAAAGAGGTGATAAAGAAGAAAGTATACATATGTCCTATCAAGACTTGTGTTCATCATGATGCCTCGAGGGCACTTGGAGACCTCACTGGGATCAAGAAGCACTATAGCCGCAAGCACGGCGAAAAGAAGTGGAAGTGCGAAAAGTGTTCTAAGAAATATGCTGTTCAGTCTGATTGGAAGGCGCACGCGAAAACTTGTGGCACTCGTGAGTATAAGTGCGACTGTGGCACGTTGTTCTCCAGGTACTATATTTGATCACTGAAATACGAAATACACAAAACATTTGGTATTGGTTGATATAATACGTAAGTATTCGAACTCGGTAATCAATTTTTATAGCAATATCGGATGACAACAAGCCATAGAGTTCATGTGAAAGTGTTAGAAACTAAGAAATTTGGGTGGCAAATCCTAATAGAGATAGGTGCATATAGAGTGTCGGTATGAATGTGTATGCAATGTACTGTTGAGAAGTTGGATTAATGCGCAGAGCATTGATTGAAGTGTTTCTGACTTTTGGGGAGCACTATATTTATTTTTAGTTTAAGATTTTGAAATAAAAGGTGCATACTTTAAGAGTATGATATTCGATGAGATTTTTGATGGCATGAGCATCTATTTATTTTGTGTGTTTGTATGTGTACATGTCTATTTGGCTTCACTCTTTTCACCTATTCACACGATATGGCAAGAAATTTCACATATATATATTATTGTCAAAACACACACAGACACACACATATATATATATATATATATATATATATATATTTTTTTCTGCCTTCATGTCGTGAGCTGCATAGGAGAAATAAATGCTTACTCCGGCCAAGAATGTCTTGCTTTGCTAATGATTTCAAATTCAATGCTATGTTTAATAATCAATGCTCTTGTCTCGCATCTTATTTTAATTAGTAGTAGTATCTTTTCTGTGCAAACGCTTTCTAATAAATAATCAATCTATTATAGGAAAGATAGTTTCATCACTCATAGAGCGTTCTGCGACGCATTGACTGAAGAAGGTGCGAGGATGAGTTCTCTTAGTAGTAACAATCCGGTGATCTCTACGACGATGACGGCAAATCTTAATTTTGGAAATGGATCAAATGTTATAAATAATCCAAATCTTCCTCATGGGTTTGTCCACCGAGGAATTCATCATCCCGACATTAATGCTGCTATCTCTCAATTCGGTTTAGGGTTCGGACATGACCTAAGTGCAATACATGCGCAAGGTAAACCTATCTCATCTTAATTTTGGTATAAAATAATATAGACTATTTTCATAACTCGCCTTTTTAAATTCTTTGTAGGTTTATCCGACATGGTACAAATGGCCTCCGCCGGCAACCACCACCTCTTCCCGTTGTCTTCATCATCATCCCTCCCCGATTTCTCCGGCCACCATCACAACCAACAATTCCAAATTCCAACAAACCCTAATCTCACTTTACCATCATCCTCAACATCACAGCAAACCTCAGCTTCACTACCGTCACTTCAACAACAACACCAAGCCCTAAAAGACTCATCATCTTTCTCCCCACTCTTCTCCTCCTCCTCCTCCTCCGATAACAAACAAAAAAAGCCTCTATCTCCAATGTCTGCCACTGCACTCTTACAAAAAGCTGCACAAATGGGATCCACTAGAAGCAACTCCACCACCGCTCCATCCTTTTTCGCCGGCCCAACAATGACGTCATCCTCATCCGGTGCTTCTCCTCCTAGATCGTCTTCTCCAATGATGATCCAACAACAACTCAACAACAACTTCAACACCAATCTCTCAAGAGAGAACCACAATCTTGCTCCTCCTCTCAGTGGTGTAACCACTACTAGTGTGGATAATAATAACCCGCTTCAATCAAACCGGTCCGGTCTAAACCAGGTGGTTCAACAGATGGGTCTAACCCGGGATTTTCTTGGAGTGAGCAATGAGCATCACCCCCACCAAACGGGTCATCGTCCGTATTTGCCTCAAGAACTCGCAAGGTTTGCTCCATTGGGTTGATTATCTGTTTTAATTGTATTCGGTTCACTACATATTTTTGGACCGGGTCAAGAGAAAGATGGGGGAGGGGGACAAGTTTTTGGGTTTAGGATTGGAAGTTTCTTCGAGGACACAAGTCTAATAATCGCACCCCTTGTGAAGCGGTCGGAATGTGGGGACAAAGGTTGACAAGACATCATTATATCAAATTACATTAAATGTTATGTACTTTTACTATGTTTATGATGATATATACCATGACATGCATGGATTTGTATTTTGCGACATTGTCGTTTTGTAAATGTTGGTTCTTTTCGTTATTAAAATGAGATATTCAGAATTTGGTTCGTATAATCTTCAGGCTTTTCCAAGCTTGGTTCGTAGAGATTGTTTTTCGTTGTTATCGTTACAAATTTGAATGTAGTGATGCATGCTTATGAACATAAATTGCTTACTATTATCGTTCATATTGTGATATGTTCTATTCCAATCCGAAAATTGTACGTCAGAGATTTCAACTCTACAAACAAATTTTATATATCCCAATATGTATTACACTTATTTAGGTTTGTTGGCAGTACCCTACTACAAAACGTTCTCCAAGACAACCTAAAGTCGCTTCAAAAGTTTTCAAATAAAAGTAAACTCAACTAAATAAAAAATATTAACCACTGATATAGCTGTTTCTTTAATACTTAGAGTTCGTACATAAATATATAATCTCATACTATTGTTTAAGAAAACTAGATGAAAAGTGAACGACATTGTTGAAATTGCCTTTCAATAGGTACTTGATCCAAACCCAAGTTCTCGAGATGTGAGTCAATGTTCTTTTGGATTCTGCATAAACTAAAATATGTTTAACTGATATCAGCTATAGTATTTTCAGTAGACTAATAGGCCTTGTCTTTATTTTGACTTATCTTTAACTCCACACGAGATAGAAAATATGAAATATGTCGTTTTGTGGATCTATGCATTATTCCTATTCATTGTCAAAGACAACAAAATTATAAAATTGTAAATGTTTCCTTTAGTACCACTAACTACATATTAGCTATGTAGTGGGGACGTTGTATATGTTATTTTAACTATTAAAATAGCTAAATGTAAATTTTAATAAATGTTTCTTCTGTAATGATGTTTTGAAAAAAGGATTGAGATGATAATACGTACATTCGATTTCATCATAGATACGTATTTCCATGATAATTTTTAAAAAAAATATATTGATGACAGAAATTTGTTTTATGAAATTCGTACGTATTTGTTAACCAGAAATTCCCTTAACCGGTTTAAGTTTGCTTTGATCTGATGACTTACATTTGACATTTTGGGCCCATCAAATATGATATGAGGCCCATACTCTGCAGGTTATAAAGGTTGCCCGTTAAGGCCTCCAGCTCAACTCCTATCTCTCTAGTAAAAATCTCTCAAAATAGGGCCCAAGAATCCAGTAATCTTACGTGGCAGAGCTAGACCAACGTGTAAATAGTTCGTCATACGTGTTAGATGTTCATTGGTCAATGTTTGCGAAACTGGGACCTACTTAAAACAGATTCCACGTGGAGCATAAGTATTGGATAGAACAACGTGTTATTACTAGTTACACTTAAAACATGCAAACCAAAATCGAAAGCTTCAAATTCGATCGAGGACGAGGACGATAATCCGAAAACACGAATTCGTGAGAGCTTGAATCAAAAGATTCGTCTTCTTCTTTCGTCTCCCCTGGTTCGGAATATTCCAAATTTGTGGGTGTAACTTGGCGTACACACACGTGTAAAGTATATGTATTGAAATCGAGAATGGATCTGTTCCGAGTCTGGTCAGGTATGGATTTCTTAGCTTGGAGAGGCATGGCGTACACACTTCTTCTGCTCAACTTTGTCTTCGCTTGCCAACTTCTTCTTCTTCAACCTCTCGTATCCGCTTTAGGTAATTTTTTTCTGGATTGCCCCCATTTTTCATTTCGTTTTCCTTTTGTAAGATTGATGTTGGTCGTTTAGTTGATTTGGGATTCTGAGGTTTCAGAAATTCGCAACAAAATGATGGTTTGTTTCTATATATTTTTCGAAAATTTGTCCTTTTGTTGTTGGGCTTGTCGCAATCTCCGGCGCTATATTGAGGTTCCCTGTAGTGGTATCGGATTCGAGATTACGACTCTGTTTCTTAGGGTATTGTAACATAATTAACTCCGTCGGAGTGAAAATAGACAGACTTTCTTGCTCCACATTACGAATTGATCAAATTTGGAAACTAGGTTGTGAGAGTGAAGCAATAATGCATTTTGGTTATTGAGTTTTGTTCTGAATCCTTACATATGTTATTTTGTACAGATGGTCAATCCGTAGATGCTGCTGAGTTATTTGAGAGGGCTTCACAAAGTATCAAGGTCAAGCGTTTTAGCGATGCCCTCGATGATCTAAATGCAGCCATAGAAGTAGACCCTGCACTCTCAGAAGCTTATTTTAGGCGTGCGTCTGTGCTTCGCCATTTTTGCAGGTATAGAAATGGCAAAAGGTTTCATCTTTAAGTTTGGATTCGTTTAATGGCTGGAAGTTGATTTCTCTTTTTCTTTCCCTGTGTTGTAGATACGAAGACTCTGAAACTAGCTACCTGAAATATCTAGAGTCTAGACCAGGAGATTCGAATGCTGAGAAAGAGCTCTCTCAGCTTCATCAAGCTAAGAGTGCTTTGGAGACTGCGTCGACTCTCTACGAATCGAAAGACATTGGGAAAGCTCTCGAATTTCTTGATAAAGTTGTTCTTGTCTTCTCCCCAGCTTGTTCTAAGGTCCTCTTCTTGATGGTTACTTATTTGCAATAGATTTTAGTCCTCTCTGATCATTTGGTTTATTATCGTTTATATATTTTACCCTTTTTTTTCACTTCAGGCAAAGCTTCTTAAAGTCAAGCTACTTATGGTGTCTAAAGACTACTCAGCTGCAATTTCCGAGACTGGTTATATTCTCAAGGAAGATGAAAATAACCTTGAAGCTCTTCTCCTTCGTGGCCGTGCCTACTACTATTTAGCAGATCACGATGTTGCCCAAAGGTTTGGCCTAACTTCAAACCCAATATCTCCCTATCATAGAGAGTCTGGATCCAAAACTGATATACCTGAGTAAACACTCTGTTTCAGACACTATCAAAAAGGGCTTCGTCTTGATCCAGAACACAGTGAACTGAAGAAAGCATACTTCGGATTGAAAAAACTGCTCAAGAAAACAAAAAGCGTGAGTCCTGCAAACCTCTTTGTCTTCCTAATAACAATGAGCTTTAGCAGCCAACTGTTGTGGTGATAACCTGTGCTCTATTGCAGGCAGAAGATAATGCAAACAAAGGAAAATTGAGAGTTTCAACAGAAGACTATAAAGAAGCTATAGCTCTCGACCCTGAACACACTGCACACAACGTTCATCTCTATCTTGGACTATGCAGGGTCTCAGTCAGGCTCGGCCGTGGAAAAGACGGCTTAAATAGCTGTAATGAAGCACTTAACATTGATCCAGAACTGATCGAAGCTATACATCAGGTTCATATCTTAAGTATTAAATCAAAACATTCATAACTTTTATCGAACAAACAGATATCTGATTACTACATCCTCAGAGAGGAGAAGCTAAAATGTTGCTAGAAGACTGGGAAGGAGCTGTGGAGGATTTGAAACAAGCCGCTCAAAACTCTCAGGTTTGTTAAAGATCAGTTTTTGATACTCTTAATGTAACTTGGATCTTTTAGACTGAGCACACGTGTAACTGTATTAGGACATGGAAATTCACGAGGCACTTGGTAGAGCAGAGAAAGCACTGAAGATGAGCAAACGAAAAGATTGGTATAAGATTCTAGGAATTTCCAAAACCGCCTCAATCTCTGAAATCAAACGAGCCTACAAGAAGCTCGCTTTGCAATGGCATCCTGATAAAAACGTCGACAATAGAGAAGAAGCAGAGAACAAATTCCGAGAAATCGCTGCAGCATATGAGGTTCCAAACAAAAATCTACAAATCCCTTTCATATTTACAAATACACACAGTATATCTAATCTAGCCCTTTAATTGATCAGGTTCTTGGAGATGACGATAAGCGGGCTAGATTTGACAGAGGAGAGGATCTTGAAGATATGGGTGGAGGTGGCGGCCGTGGAGGATTTGATCCATTCGGTGGTGGTGGTGGTGGTGGGTACACTTTCCATTTCGAGGGCGGTTTTCCCGGTGGTGGTGGCGGCGGTGGTTTTGGCGGTTTTGGTTTCTAACTTGGACATGAAGCAATCATGTAACTTAAGATTAAACTATTTTCAAATTATACTCCAAACACATTTGCTTTTTTTCATCAAAAAAGTTTTGTGCAATCCTCAGTCGTAATGTTGTCTCATTTGGAATCAAAACAATAACATGATAACACAATCTCAAATTACAACAAAATTTTTAAGCTCTCATCGTTATTCTTATAAAATTCCAATGTCGATCAAAGCTCTCTCGCGAGTTATATCCACAGAGAAGAAGAAGCAGCAATGGCTGCCACGGTGGCGATTAACCCGAATCCGAATCTCTCTCCATCAGACGAATCGGTAGAATCTCCTCCACCGTCGCTGCCAGAAGGTGAACCAGCCGTAACTGAGCCGCCGCCTTTCTCAGGCGCCGGAGCAGGAGCCGAGCTCGACCCAAACATCGCTAACGGCAGCAAAACTTGGTCGACTTGATAAACGGCGAGCTGCTTATCGCTGTAGACAGAGTTAGCCACGGTGGCGCTTACAACTCCGGTGGTGATGTTGACTTGGTTACCGGAGCTAGTGATGTTAAGAGGGAATTTACCGTTTTGCCCATCACCAGCTTGCGTGCGTAAGGGGTTGCTAACGGTTTGAAACTGCGGCATGGTCAAGAGTGTGGGAAGGACATGGAACTGAACAAGCTGAACCTTCTGCTGGTCGGATAATGAGTTCAAGGTTCCGGATTTGAGGCTGCTAAAGGCGTTATCGGTAGGGGCAAACACGGTTAGGCCCTGGCTCGAAGAAGAATTGAGCTGAGTGTTGATTTGGTCTGCGGCTTGGGTGCTCTTGAGGAGTCTTATGAACATTGTGTATTGACCGGCTTTTTCTAGGACTGCGGTTATGTTGGTTGGGCCTGAAGGGGTTGGGGCTGGAGCTTGACCATTGGTTGTAGCCATAACGAGGAAGAAGATGAAGAGATTAGAGGAAACGATTGTTTTTAAAGCAGCCATTGTTGTTGTTGTTGTTGTTGTGTGTGCGTATGTTCAGAGGTTTTGGGGTTTGTTATATAGAGAGATGTAGTTTGGTGAAGAGTAAGATCCTCTTCCTAGTGTGAAGACTATTACTTGGTAACTAAAACAATCTCTTTCAAATAATCCAGTAGAGATTGGAAATGTTGTTAGGTTAAACTTACAATAAGTCTGTTTAAATTGAGAGTGAGAGAGAGGAGAGAGATTGCTTTGAAGGGAGAGGTTGGGTGGGTGAGGATTGAAAATGAAGAATGAAACTGAAAAAAGGGTTATTGTGATCTGTCAAAAGCTGTGAAGAAGTGCTATTCAAGAAATCTGGGATTGCTACTCATTATGATAGTGTGTGTCATGTGTGCCTCTATCATCATGCGATGTAAGAAAAAGAAAACTTACAAACAAAAAAATATGACGTAAGAAAAACATTATTGGACAATATTAATTTGCAACATTTTTTTCTTATTGATCACTTCTCTTTTGATATCTGATTGGTAACATCAACAGAAAAATAAAACAATAATGACGTCAAAAAAAGATGGAAAATTTGATTATTACAATAAGGGCTAATTAATAACGTTGTCTAACTTTTTGTATAATTAATAATGTAGCCTGACATTTTGTTTTGTTTCTTTTTGACACCAAAGAACCAATCTGCTGCTTTCACATCTCACAGCATCCACTAATCGGTTCAGCTAAACCGAAAACCCATTCCGGATGGTTCAGTAAACCCAAAACAACAAGACCCAAACCCCAAACCCTTCGGGGACTCTAACTTCAGCCAAGCGCTACTCTGCTGCTGCCTGAGACGGTGGTGGCTCCACCTGAGTACTTGCTGGCTCGGCTGGCTGGTGGGCATGGCTTCTCCTCCATTTCATATACTCGTTAATCGCGGTTGTACCGGACATGGTGAGTCCAATTCCGACCATGGTGGCTAAGACAATGCACATAACCGGCTGCTTAATAATCTGCGCACACAAGTTAAATGAGAATTTGTGGAAACCAAGAACCAGAGCTTTAACAAAGTCAGTTTGGAAAACAAAAAGTTAATCGAGACATCACATCAAATCTTACGACGGAGTAGAACAGATGAGCGAAAAGGACCACGAAACTGAACTGAACGGCTGCGAAGATCCACACATACTTCTTCTTCACTGCACCACATCTCAGGATTAACTTAAAATACACACAAAAGGTATAGTTTTGAAGGATAAAAGGAACCTCGTATTACCCATTGCTGTTGATGTCATCGATGCAAGAAGACCGATAACGCAGGAGAACGGAAAAGCTATTGCGACGGCGCTAGATTTCAAATCCGTGACCAGAAGCTGCTCGAGGAAACAAAAGTATGACAACATGCTTACAATGACAAGAATCGGCACGTCCTGCCACTCGCTGAACTGCGAATTCTCGATATTCTCGGCTGCTCTAGACCGGTTTTGAGAATCCTGCACACGGAGAAGCGTCACGGGGAGATTTTTCACCTCTTGCTTGCACACATCGCATGTGATGTTCCCTTTGATTGAGAACCATTTAATGGTGCACGTTTTGTGGGCAAGAGCTAGTTCCCCTTTGCACAAACATTCCATCTTGAAAGCCTCTGAATCTTCTCCTAACTCAACCATACAGATTCTACACACAGCTTCTTCTTCCGGAACATCTTCTCCGCCATCATCATTCGCATCTGCGTACATATCACCAAAACCATAAGGAGGGATCAAAAAGGTCGTTTCTTGGAAAGTGATTTCTAGCCGTTGAGTTTACTCGTTTTGGATGCCTGCATCATCTCCACACGAGATGGAGTGGGAATCACTCGGAGTAACCCTGACGGCTTTACACTCCCATCTTTGTCGATGAGCGTTGGGACAGAGCGCGAACGGCGAATCGGCAGTGGATTCTCTCTTTTCTAGCAACAACAACATTCGAATCAGAAGGTAAACTTATCAAAGAACAGAACTTTAACCAAGCTCTGAAGATATATAGGATACTGACCACCGTGTGGCTCCCGCGCATGGACTCAGGATTAGAGTGAGCTACAGGGGATACCGGTAAAGATTCCGTCTTTCTAGACTTTTTAGGGGTTAAGAGATTAGTGAGAGACCATGTTCTTGGAATGAGAGGCTTGTTATCTCTGCCATAAGACGCCAAAGCCACACCTTCCTCGATATCTGTATTGTTGTTCCGGTTTTTGAAGATTAGGAGATTCTTCCTAACAGTCCAGTTTCTCGACGAGGAAGAAGGACTCATCGATCCAACACGTCTCCCGATTCTAGGGCTTGACATTGGAGAAAAAGTGAAGCTTTTGGAGACAGGACTAGAAGTTAACGATCCACTTGCGTGAGCTCTCGATTCGATATCTAACACAAGGCGTCGCCATCTTTCGTGTTGGCTCAGTGATAGCTCTTCTTCTGTAATCTCAGCAGAAACTCCATCCTGCGAAACCCAAAAATGATTAAATTGTTCCTCAAAAATGTCGCGATGCGAGCGGAAAATCCGGAAGAAAACAGAATCGAAGCAAATCTATGACTTGCAAATTGCAGAAGATCAAAATGATCCCCTAAAACCCTAAACGGATAATTCTTAAACCCCTCGGCTAAAATCAGTGAGAAGAAAGAGGAAGGAGATCAATTTTGATGATACACATGAAATAAAAATCACTGACATCGATTTAAACGAAGTGTCTACCGGGAAATTCAAAAAAAAAAATGGAATTGAGTTATAAGAGTGATAAAACTCACCATTGGAGCTGGAGAAAGATCTTCGCGGGGCCCATGTTCTACTTCGCTAGTCTTAGCTTTAGCATCCATCAATTCATCCAGACTTCAAACCAAACCAAAGATACAGTCTAGTAAAAGAAGAATCCCCCAGAAAAATGGATTTCGATCTTTGAGATTAATTTAAATTACGGAAAAAAAAAAGACGAATTTCTATGAGAAAATATCGATTCGAAGAGGTCTCTCAACAACAATTGTGAGTTAACGAGGATAAACTCTTCTAGGTTTGCCGTTTCGTCTTACTCTTACATTCTCAGTCTGGGTCCAGTGTTTTGACCCGTTTCTCCCTACCATAAGCGTAAATTGGACTCGGGCATTTCTTATTTTTCTTTTTTCCCTATTATTAAATACTATTCCTTAATTTCTTACACGAAAAAATCACTATTTTCTTTTGTTGTCAATCTCTTACACGAAATTTTGGAAACATATTTATGCATGTCAAATTAGTTAAAAATCCATATAATTATGACTTTTTTTTATAAAAGAAGGGAAAACAGTGATTTTTCTCTTGTTGAAAAATGATGTTAATTTTTCCTCCATCATTTTTACTATCAAATTTTTGTAACCAATCTGAAAGATAACAACCAATCTACAAGAGGCCTCTTTTACTCTAGTCTTGGGACATTAATAAAACCTTAGTTTTTGTATTTTTCTTAAGATAGTTGTATATTTATTGTGATTATTTATTGGAAAAAAAGATATACAAATATTGGGGAAAAAAAACATGGGGGCATAACTCTTAGGACATTCGTAAAACCTTGTAGATAAGAAGGAATAAATATGATAGTTTACGCCGGCATAAGCAAGGAAATGTGGTTAAGCGAAGGGACGTCGCGCAACAAACTGATTGTTATACAAAAAGTAAGTAGATCAATCTCTCTAAACAAGGTTTACTTACAACGGTCGAAAGATGTATTTGTTGACAATGTGATTAGAGAATGACGAAAATCTTGTTAATCACCGAACGAGATTTGAATGGAGCATTAAAGTTAAGCAATCTAATTCATATAAGCAAATGGATATATCATATATGTCTTCAGCCTTTTAAAAAAAGGAGTTAATCAAAAATCATAATGGGTTGGTGTTTTGGATACAAACATACACAGTAGTCTCATCTCCAGACTCCAGGTGTCAATTGGTCTGTCCAAGCCCAATTTGGCGTGTCCATGTGGACATTTTTATTTATGGGCTTTCAATGGTCAGTCTATTTGGACAATGGTCCAAAATTTGACCATGCCCAATAAAAACCAGGTCTAGATGGGCATGCCCATGGACAGCCCAATTGTATTTATCCATATAATTTGTAAAAATCATATTTTTCTAATTAACTTTATATTGCAAAGCCCATATATTTTGGCCCATGGTCGGCCCAACCAATTTACAGACTCTCATCGGATGCTTGGTCAAAATTTGATTATGTAAAGTGGAACTGGGCCTTCGCGGCCCAACTCTATTCTAATTTTACCAGCCTTTGAGAAATTATTTTATCTTATAAGTTTTGTCAAAGAAACTGATCCACGTTGCACAAAAAAAAAAAAAAAAAAAAACTGATCCACGCGTCTCTGTGTACCAACGCAAATAATACACCGAATATGTAGGGCCACCTAATTCATGTGACACGACTAAATTATATCAAATCATTTTAAAGCACAGACCCCAAATGTGGGAGCCACACGTGTGTGTTTAACAATAGTGATGTGGGAAGTTGTCAAATTAAATAATCAAAGTTTTCATTTGATTCCGAAGATAAAATTGCAGGAAAAACAAAAGCAAAAAAGAACATGAACGGTGGTTATTGGTAGTTCAAAAATGGAATCCATAGTTCAATTAGTTCATTATCAACCTTTTCATTATAAAATTACATCGCGATATGACGTTTTAATAACATCAACGGTCAAAATCTTACTCGACAATTGACGAATAAATTACTTATCTTGGTGTGACGTGGCAATATAATGGCGGTAGAATCTTAACATTTGGGCGGAGCATGTGACTAATAAAATTACTTCAATTTTACTTAGCGTCACCATTCAATCTGTGCAAAGCTCTTCGTCACTCGCTCCTTCTTCCCCAAACAAAAAAAACAAAAAAAACAGAGTCTAAAGATCTAAATTCTATGAGCGGTTCTCAGAAATAAGAAAGGATACTACAAGCATGTAAGTAAGACGAGACATACTGTTTCTGTTTTGCATGGCGGATCGAATGGTTGGAATGGAGACGGAGGTGAAGTCGATTAGGGTTCCGAGAAGGGTCTGGTTAGGGTCGCAAATATCCATACTTCTCCTCGTGGGTGGAAACCATACCTCCTCCAGGTTCTGTACCCGCTAGATTCTTCCATCTTTCCTCCTGTTTTCTCTCTCTCTCTCTCTCTCTCTCTCTCTCTCTCTCTCTCTCTCTTTGATCTCTCTACCCATCGTAATAGACACAATTCTCAATTGGGGGGATTCGCCTCGATTTTTGTTTGAAACTTCTCGGCTTTTCATCGGACTAGAAAAGTTTGATTGGAAGCCATGGGTGTAAAGATCTTGAAGCTCAATATCTTCCGTGGATCTACGAGGAGACATGCTCTGTTACGTGCTCTCATCATCGCCTCTGCTCTATCTGTAATCCCTTTGATGGAGTTACTTCCTGGAATCGCTAAACCTCGAGTCTCCGGTGATGACGCAGCACTGGGTCTGGTCCATCTCGGCCGATTTGTTTTTCCAGGACCGAAACTCTTCTTAGACAAGCTCGTTGAACCATTCCTGGGAAAACCCGAGACAAAAGAGTTCATCAACGTCATCGTGTTCAGGAGGAATCTAACTGATACTGCTGCTTACGATGTTGGAAAGTCTCAGGTGCCTAGAGATTGTCCATCTGTTGAGACTAATAGACCTTACGTAGCGTTCATGGAACCTCTGTCCGAGCAAAAGCCTGTTGATTTCCCAAAATCAGTCGCTTACTTGCCCAAATTCCTTGATCTCTCTCTGGAGAAGAGGCTTGTCTACATTGACATTGGCGCAGGGGAGCATCTGGATGCTAAGTTATCTCCAAACTGGTTCTTTCCATCTTACCCAATCGACAGCAAATCTTTCAGCGCCTACTTTGTCGATCACAACACTTCTGTGATGCTGTCGTATGTCAGAAAACCCGGCGTCACCTTTGTTTACCATCCCGGTTTAGCTGATGAAAACACAACAGGGAGAAACAGAACTCCGTTTGTTGAACAGCTAGAGCCGTTCCCAGAAGACGAGGGCTTCGATTTCCTTGCTTGGTTTGAGGAAACTGCGAAATACGCAGACTTTGTGGTTCTTAAGATGAACACAAGCCAAGTGGAAATGAAGTTTTTATCTGTTTTGTTGGAGACAGGAACCATATGCTACGTTGATGAGCTTTTCCTCCGCTGCTCCAACCACAAACCAGACTGCATCAAATTACTTGGAACTCTAAGAAACAGAGGTGTGTTTGTTCATCAATGGTGGGAGGACTAAACACCAATGTAACTCTCAGTCTCGCCTTGCCTTGCTTCACTCTCTGTGTTTGCCATAGTTGGTCCTTGGCCTACGCAGCTCCAGGCCTAGCACCTGTTACTAAATAAGAAGCTGCGTCTTTGTTTATCATTTACTCTTTAAGAACTGTAATATCCATTTAAGAGAGGCAATATATGTTGAAGTATTGGATATCTATAAGATCATTAACATCATAATTCATAACAGTGTTCAATGAGAACCAAAGGTGTGTTTGTTCATCAATGGTGGGACTAAACAGCAATTTAATTCAATCATAGGATCATAACATTGCATATATTACAAATCAAAAACAGCTATACTATACAGGCTTTTTGCTTAACTAAGTTTGTTCATCTCCATCTCCATTTCCTCCATTTCTATTACCGTTTACCTGAATCTCCAAAAGCCTCTCTGCAGGTTGTCTGCAAATTGGACACCGATTTGTCTGAAACCTTAACACCTTAGCGCATCCACTACACATACACTGCCCACACAAACCAATCCAAAAATCATTACTTAATCAGCACCAACTTCATTTCCAGGAAAAGTTAAACAAAAAAGTATAATCAGCATACCATGTGTCTGCAAGGAAGAACAGTTGTATCGCGTGGTTCGGACAAGCATATAACGCATTCTTTTGCCGGGTCAGTTGTATCCTCGACGCGACCATCAGTCCCATAAATATCCTGCAACACATATCTCAACCCATTCACCCACAGTATCTGCTCCACCACTTGTATCTTAATCTCCCCTTTCTCCTTCACATACACCGCCTGAGTTATCTGAGCATTGGCGGATTCGGACTTTCCCTCTCTCGAGTCAGCCACTGGAGCTGCTGCCTCTGCCTTAATCGCCAGCGGATATATATCTGTTTTGGACTCCTTGAATAGCTCGGAATCTTCAAACACCGATAGGTCTATGCCAGTTCCAGATGGTTGTATGAATTTCTGACCAAGCCCTTTTTCAAAATCAACTGTGATTGGAGGCAAAGTATCTCCCTTTGTCGCTGTGAGATTAAACTCTCTGCCTTCTTCCGCAAAGAAAACGACTGTGATCCTGTTCTTCCCCCCCAAAATTAACAAAAGGTAAGTCATTTATTTATTTCACACTACGATTATTCAACAAGATTCAAACTTGATTTCAGCATCATGAGTTTCACTCTGTTTCCGAATCATAAAGTGGAAACTAGACCTTCCCGAGGCGATTGCATCAAACGTGAAGGAGACGAGAAGTCGACTCGGGTTACCCGGATCGGGCTCGAGCCTCAGAGTTTCCTTCTTCAGATTAACGTCGTTAGGAATCGTGACGGCTTTCTGGTGTTCGACGAATGGAGGCGGAATCATCGGGCATCTCCCGCCGGCAACCCAAGGATGAGACTGGTGATGATCAATGTGGGGAGGGTAGTGACAGTTGTAGAGGTGATCGTATGGTGCCGGCGTAGAAGGATAGTAGCCCGGATACTGATAAAAATGGCGCGGGTAAGGGTTAGAATACGGCGTTGCAGCGGCGAATACAAAACGATTACGTGTGATTCCGGGTGGAGGTGGCTGAGGAGGAGCCGTTTCCGTTGCCGGAAATATGTTGGTCCTCCGTCTACTGTGACGGCGTCTTCTTCCGCCATCCTTGATGCTGCAGCAGATATTCCCCATGATTGAATTTTTAAAATTGCTGAATTCTTTGTGGGTCGATTGGAAATTCGGAGGATTTGGAGTGAAACTGGAGTTTGGTTATGATCATTTGCTTAATAATGATTAATTGGAATTGACTCAGTTGAGGAACGATGAATGAGATAAATTTTTATTTTTATGAAAAGACCAAAGTAGTGTCTTTTAATGTAAGTGTATACAAACTATATGCTAATTTATATAGAAGAGAAATCCTTTTAGAAATCAATATGAAATTTGAAGTTATTTTGAAACTAATGTTAGTGTACTTATGTTAATTGTGGTTAGTGGAGCTTTGGAAAGTTAATAATGTAACAACTGATTTTATTAAAATAAATATGGTTTGCTTTTTGCTCTTTCACATATTCCATTTTTTGTCGATTTTACAATAAGGAAATTTCACAAAAGTGGATTAAACAACAACAAAAAAAACAAATCCTGTCTATAGCTCTCGAGTCTCGATCTGGTGTTGGATGGATTTTTCATCATTTTCCTCGTATATCGTCCCCAAAGAAGGCAAAGCTGAGACCTTCACCGGGAAAACAAGAACCGCCGGTACAACTTCGAAAGGTCCGATCATTCTCGCCATTAAAAATAAAACCAAGATATCTCTTCAGCTTGACTTGAGAGTTGAGAATTAGTAGTAGTAGTAGATTAAGATTTTAATAGAGAGATCATTGTTATCATCATCTTAAAAAAGAGCTGTTAATGGGAGAGCAAAAATCACGTTCTGGAATATGTAAGAATATGACGCGGTCTTATTTGTCGCACGTGTTATCTATGTTTGATGGTTAGATTGACGCGCTTCTTATTAAAATACACGAGTGACGCGTATACTGGCTTATATGCGGACAGGTGTGATGTATCTATATTCTTGTGGTTATATAAAGTCATCCCATAAAACCATATCCCTGGTTTAATTTTTGATTATTTGTTTGTGGTCCGTTTTCTATGGAAATTTGCCTATAGTTTGATGCAAAAAGCTTTAGTATTATTCTTCAGTATTTTGTTTGGGTTGTTCGTTTGTATGAAAGATGAATATTTGGATCGAGTCAGGTTAAAAGTTAAAAACCCATCATCAGCTCGAAACTGAACATAGATATATGTATGTGTGATATTAGGAGGAACTGATCATCGAACTACAAGATGTGAAAGTTCCAACAAAATTACACAAACAACTGTTATCATGAGATATGACTATACAAAATATACAAAATCTCAACTTATATATTTATAGAGAGACTTAACAATAAAAATCTATCTAAAAACCAAGACGAAATATAAAATGATCTCATTAAACGTCTTCGTTTTCATGTTCTTGATCCTCTTCTTCGGTCTCTCGTCCTTCCAAAATCGTCTCAAGAATTGGAGAAGACGATGGCTTCTCTGGTGAAATTATCCGCGGAGGAGCTGCCTCCATCCACCACGCCACATCCATCTTTGCCGCCATCAGATTTCGATCGCACCGATTATCAAAGAAACACATTTTCGAGAGATAGGATTGTAAATTGCAGATGTAGTTCAAGGTTTGGGCTAGATCATTGCTATTATTCAACTATATATTTATAGATAGTATGAGAATGATTGGTTGAAGCGAGAGTCGGACAAGTGGACGATCCATAATGAAAGAAGTTGGTTGTTGACGACTTGGTCTTGTTTGCTATAATTATAAAAACAGTGGAACCAACAAGAATATTCTAGAACCTCATGTTTTTGTATTGCATGAGCAACACGTGTGTAACTTTATGTTCCTACACGTTTCAATCAAATGTTAAGATATTTATTTATTCGTCTTATGTTGCTTTTCTGGGGTCACCGTTAAGCTATATCAACCAAAACACCAGATGAAAGTAGTGACCAGATTTTTTTGGGGTCACTGTTATAGTTAGACAATCACATGTCTCGGCAATGTGTTCATCTAAGACAATCCCTTGAGTATTAGTAAATGAAAACATAACAATGTGTAGGATATTGGAATATTTGAAAAACAAAACTTCTAACAGAAACGAATTCGGTTACGAAAATAACAAATAACTATTTTGTGTGTTTAAACTGAAATAAGATTCCATAACATAGAGATTGTTTTTACTCAATAAGCGGTCAGAATTAACGTTTGAAGTAGTAGTGTAGACAATAAATTAGGCCGACATTAGAGTATAATGGGCTCCTACATTATCGTATTCTTATGGGCCCTCGACATGAGATGTTGATAAGAACGAAACCCATGAGATCATAAAATAGTAATATAAGACTGACCCGAAGCCCAGAATCGTCTACATGCATTTTATTTACTCTTCATTGGCAACGTCTGTAGATAGTTCTCGCCAATTCCGATTTCTCTTGAATGTTTTCTGCCTGATTTTTATTTTCTTTCGTATTTATTCTTTTTCTTTGATTGTTAAAGGGCCTTTCGTATTTATTCTTTCTTTTCGTTTATTTTGTTTTACATCTCTACTAAACAATAAAAAAGTCAAGAAGTAATAAACGGTTACACATATACATAACAATTTGACTGAAAGATTATTGAAACTAAGGCAACGCTGAAAAGTAGAAAAACATTATTCAATTTTAGTGATGATGTAAAATGCAAACCATCTTTTAATCCGGGCTTAGATCGATCGTTGGAAAACATGCCACATGCAAAGTTAATCAAATATTATAACTAGAGATACATAGCAATCAATTGATATATACATATAAATGTATAAATATAAGATGCAACCTTTTTAAAATATTAGATTAACTGGAAAATTAGTCATTGACCTGAAAAGGATTGGATAAGATAAGGATAGTTGAAAGATAGCTATCATGCTTCTCGCTATTCTTTTCCCTTTGTTTTATTTTTCTAAAAACGGAGAATATTTCCCCTGGTTTTAATATGTTACCTGTGTAAATAGTTATAATATTATAATATAGGGATGCATGACATAATATTATAATAACTGAATTAGTAGATAACCTGTCACTAGACAATTCGATATTCTACTTCTACTGTTCTACTATAAGATGAATTCATTTATGCAGAATTATTGGCACCTGATGATCGAACATGGCACCTAAAAAGTGAACTTATCACATCGCATAAGTTTTGGACAAAATAGTCTCACGCTAATTTTTTTAAAAATATGACGAAATTACGTTTCATCAGTCGAGAGTAAGGATTTAAGCTCAAGAGATACATTCAAAATAATATATAGATACATGAAGTTCTACAGAATTAAATGGTACTCGGTTTAGATACACGACAAATCAACTATATCATGTGTTTTTCTGTCTTTTTTTTCCACAAATTTCGCTGAAATTGGTTTTCATGTTACAATGATCGATTAATTGGTTTATGAGTCGATATGTTAATGTAGCAGCTACATGTCATATAGGTACAATACGCAGATCACTTGGCAAATATATGACATTTCCAACAATTATTTTGTTCGGCGATAAATTAATAATATAAATCCCAAAAGTAGGAAATATGTAATTAACAAATAAGATTACGATAATACGGCGGAACGAGGAAGATTTCATCTTTTCAAATCACGTAGGAAACTATACATTATTTAGATCAATTATACATATATAGGGTATATAAAGTAGAAAAAGCCAAAGATATTAAAAAGCTCGATTATTGGTCCTATAAGTTCACATTGTTTTCATTTGTTTTTTTTTTTGTTGGTACTTGTGCTTTGTAATACATCTAAAGCCCCAATTATGGAGAGGTCTTATCGCCCAATAATTAATTGGCCACACTACTCTATTATTTAAATTGCAATTGATTCAGCAGATACGCTCCTTTAATTTGGCAGTTACTTTAAAATATGATAAAATGACAAACTTCATAAATTTAGTTGCAAGGAAAACATTTAAACAGAGCAGATGAGTTGATCCTTTTTTTTTTTTACTGCATGCAGATGAGTTGATCAAAGAAGAAAAACTCACATAGAAGACTCAAAACTATTTATGACTTCTTACCTTCAACATATTTATTATACTAGCCAGGAAACAAACTAATATAATGATCAATTGCATTTTCACCATTCATAGAAAACCCATGCATGGAGATGTGAATTATATCCCAACTATTCCACGGCCACCAGTATAAATATCATGTATGTGTTTTATTTTTATTTTCTACAATAATGGAAATACACGTTTTTACAAGTATATATAATTACATAAAACTAAAAGAGTGTATATAATTACACATGACCAGCGAGAAGATTTATTCGAGACCCCACATGTTTTGCTATGATCAGAAAATTGTCCGACAGATTTTACCAATTATAATATCATATACTTATATTGGTTATTCCATTTCCATTCTGCCCATTATTATTATATAGCAGTAATTATTAGTAATATAACATGATAAGTATACACAATGTACGTACGTTGTAAATCTCTTGGTATCTTATGTTCATTCTAATATTTTCACATCAAGAGAATGAAAAATTGGGGGACCTGGATGACGTGTCAAGATATTGACGCCTGAAAGATCCGTAATGTCAAAATGTGATGACGCCCGTGGGCCTGCTTTTCCTGACAAGCGACATCTCACCTATTATTGGCCCACGTGTCGTTTATTATCTTCCATAAAACTAACCGTGTATTTGATCAAATGTGTTTTTATACTTCTAGATATTATAAATTACAGAAATTTTTATCAATGGAACCCAAACTCGAGTTAAAGAAAGACTGTGCGAAACAATAACCGAAATGAGTCAAATACAGTATATAGTAGAAATTTATGGTGTAATCACGGGCTTGATGTTTAATGCGATACATAACTTTTTAGAAATATCACACGTTAATACGTTACGACAAGTCTTTACCATTGTAGTCTTTAACCAAAAAAAAAGTCATATTGTATTAGTCATGTCCCTTTATTCACTACTATTTTTTTTTTGAATAAATTCTATAACTAGACATTTGTAACGAAAAAACTGGGATAATGTTTAATCGTTTTTATTTCCATTTCAGAAAAAATAGTTTTTGTTTGATATTTTTTTTTTTTCTGGACATCAGTTGTTTTTGTTTTATATTGACAAAAATAAAGATAGAAAAAGAAAATGAGTCATAATAGTGGAAATAAATCAATCCCACAATTGCTATTTATAGCATTCATTTAAGGGAATAAAACTATTAAGCTGAACAAGTCATGTCCCTATTAGTCCACGTGAAGTAATCCGACGTGTCTATTTTACTGAATAAGAGGTGAAAATAATCCGACGTGTCATTCAGCTTTGGACAATCCAATAATGTGTGCACAGCGCGTCTAGGCTATGTTCCCCTGCGGACAACCGCACTAGTTGTTTTTACACCAAGATACTATTCAAATCACATAAACCAAAAGAAAATACACTGAAATTTCAAAATAAATAAATTCAAAATAAAACTGCAATCTTCAATCTTAATTTCTTGGACTATGCAACGAATTTAATATTAAATTTCTAGGTAAACATTTATAAACAATATTTATTTTTGGTTTAACCAATTGGTCAGAATTATTGAGAAATCTAAATAATGCCTATTTATTTTTTTATAGAGCAGAATTAGAATTTTCAGAGTAATCTTTGTAAAGCCTGTAGCCATTCTCTACATATCCAAATCCACAACAAAACACAAAAATCAGCAAAACTATCCTAATTAAACAGATTGGCTCTGAAATTAGGTTTTATAATCGATGCAACGAAAACGAACAATTCCATAATATCGGAATAAAATTTTTCCAATCTAAGATTTATAGATTTTACATCGCATATTCGATCTGGGTGAAATTTGTAACAGTAGAAAGAGATAAACTAAAGTTTACATCGACATAAACCTTTTGGGAAGGGCGATAAAATAAACCAGATGAAGAAGATCGATGAAGTTTTGCTTTACTCGGGAGATATTTGGTTGCAGAGTGAGAAAGAACGATAAAAGGACGGTTTGAGTGTCTAGTATGTTTACCCGTTGAAATTGGTTCTATTACAGTTCGTATGAAGTCGGTTTAGTTCAATTTAATACAAAAGAATTAATATTGGTTTTAAAGGTGCATGTAATTTCATCACCATTGAGTTTGAAAATAGATTTGAAAAGAAAGAAAAAATTAAATAGAAATTGACAAAATTGTTAATCAAATAACTATAAAGTTCTAAAAATATCAAAAGTAACATCATATCTAAGAACATTAAATTTTAAGATAAATTTTATCCAATAGCAACCAAACTAAAGGTAACTTAAAATGAAATAATTAAATAATAATATTTTAGGTGAACGAAAAAATCCATTAAATTCTTAACAAAAAAAAAGATAGTAGAATCATTAAAATCATAATTTTAGATCACATCTCCTTACTTAAGGTAATTAAGAAAAAAAGTTATTAAAAAAAAGCAAAGAGAAAAACAATGGACGAAATGTAAGAATCAGGAGATATAGAGCTCACGTTAAGAACGTGAGCCTGGCCACACCGGAAAACTTTCGCTTTTTTATCTACTTTGTCCGTTTGTCGTTTACTTGTTTAAGTCGTAACTTCACATAACCAATGAGCTTATCTCTTTACCACATCTCTCTATAAAATGATCTCCATACCTTCAATTGAAATTTCACAAAACCCAATTTGATAGTCTTCGACCACAAGCAGATCAAAACCCAGAAACCAAATTTTGTAATCTAGTCGCAAAAAAATCCGTCTTTCTTCTTTTCTATGCTCTGTTTTTTTAAAAAAATTTACAATAGCTCTGTTTTCATCATCAATGGCGTCAAGGAACCTTTTTTTTGTCAAGCCTAAATACATCTATACACAACCAGAGCCAGAGATGTCCGACAACGACGAGAATGTCTTTGAATTCGACGAGTCTGATATCCATAACTTAGGCGATCATCAATTGCCGAATTCATTTGACGCGAAGAGATCGATATCAATCTCGCGATTGCGTAGAAAACCGGCGAAAACCGGAGATTCCATAAGTTCGGGTAACCGGAAGACGCCAAAGACCGGTTCGCTCCCGGTTAACATCCCCGACTGGTCGAAGATTCTGAAGAGTGAGTATAGGAGCCACGTGATACCAGACGACGACAGCGACGACGATGACGAGGACGACAACGACATCAACGACGGTGACACAGCGGCAACCGGAGGAAGACGAATGATTCCGCCGCACGAGTATTTAGCGCAGCGGAGAGGATCTTCGTTCACGGTGCACGAAGGAATCGGTGGAACGGCGAAGGGAAGAGATCTAAGGCGATTGAGAAACGCGATTTGGGAGAAGATTGGATTTCAGGATTAGTAATAAAGTAGGGATTTAATTAATTATATAACTCTATAGGTAATACCGTAATATATAGATATGTTAATCTATTAATTACTTAGATCCGGTTAAGGATGACTTCGTATTTTTTATCTTGGGACGGGGATTTAGGATCGGTTATATAATTTCGGTCCGAAGGAGAATTTTTCGATATCCTTTTTTTTTTTGCTTATTTCTTCTTGTTTTTTCTGTTTGTGGAGTTTTTTGATCGTCCTCTATCCTTTTCTTTTTTTGGTATGATAAATGAAAATTTTATATACTGTGCGCCTTAAAAAATTTGGTTATTTCCTTATAATTTTACAGACTCCAAAGTGGTCGAACAATCAATAATACAGCACTTGCAAAACAAACTCTTTGAACTAAGGACATGTATTTAGATTTAATTCAACAACTGAACTAGTTTTCTAAAAACAAAATCCAAAAACCAACCGACCAACAAACAATAACCGGATTAGTCACTCCAATATATAACTAAATTCTCCACAAACCATCTCTTCAAAGTGATAAAACCTTAATGGTCATCACCAACCACCAAGTGTCAAGTCTTTTGAAGATCTTGATTTAAACCATGTATGATTCGACTTTAAACGATAGGCCATATACAAAAGTCTCCAGCTATAGGTGATGTATTTTTGTACATTTTCTTCCATTTCACAAACATCAAAGAGAAAAAGTTAATTACATTTTTAAAAGTTGATGTGATCTTTATTTTCTTAATAGTATTTTATTCAAGAAAAAAGTAATAATGATACATTCAATGAAAGTTATTGCAAAATCTATTTCTGTGTCTCCCACTCTATGCTATGCTTTTGCAACAACAGTTCAAGATTGGGCATCATTTTCTTTCTCCGCCAATCACAACATCACTCATTTTTCCTTTTCTATTTCTGTTTCGTCAAAAAGTTGCAATATTCTCTTTTTCTCCTTACTCATTACTTGCTTCGTAAGTTTAGTAAATTTTTATTTTCATCAAACACTCGTAAAAACTGTAAATCCAAACGTATAAAAATGTATAATATGTGATGAAAATTTATCGAAAGAGTTCCTTTAAAAACAGATGCAACAAATTTGGCATATGAAGACAAACTGAAAACATACGCACTAACTTAGAGACAACAATCAAGACTTGAGAAAAACAATGGTTTGGTAAAAAAAAAGTATGAGCTATCAAAATCGAATAATTCAGGGAATGTGTGTTGAATGTGGAAATGTGGTAATCACACTGTTGCATACAGAGATGCAGTCAAGTGGCAAACAAACGGCGCCCTTAGTTTGGTATGAAATAGAGACATTGGTTTTGGAGTGTTGCCAGATATATATAGTTCACAAAAATAAATTGAGCTATATTTTAAATTTCTATACTTTTTATTTTATGTATACTAAAAATTAATTATGTTTGACTTTATTGATATATTTGTCTGATAAGAGTATCAGCTGAAAAAGAAAGAAAAGATGTATTAGTCTCATTGTTCATAGTTCATAGACTAACTTCCGCACGTGTGTTCTGTCGAGTTGATCTTTGTCTCGAGATTGTAAACTTCGTGATGTCTCTAATCAACTGACAAACAGATGATTCTAACAAGTACAGCCAGAACCAAAACGACAGCTAGTAGAGTAACTAAATTGTCATGAAAACTCCATTTTTAACCCAAATTTTTACTAAATTACAATAATAACCTAGAGTTTCTATAATCAAAGACAAGACACGCTGTTGAGTTTTTGGTATATATACACATTGGCATAAGTTAACGCTAATCCATAAAAAAAAGCTACTCTTATTCCTAATCAGTGGAAACTGCATTCAAATCCGAACCGTTTGGTATATGTTTGAACCGGTCCGTGATTTTCCATAAAAACAAAGAACAAGTTCTGGCCTCTAGCTAAGAATTTCTAGACGTTGTTGAATCCATCTGAATCTTTAATTTACGAGCCGTTCTCGCAAACTCCCTGCAAAAACAAACGCAGTTAAGAAAAAAAAAACCAATTTCTCAGTTCCAAACAACGACAAGGTCTCGACTTGAACCATGCAAGTCACAGGGATGATAAACGCACCTGAACGGTTCATGATCTGTTACGTGTTTGAATTCACCTTGACTATCGTAATACATGACGTTATGTAGCATCACCGGGTTTTCTAACTTGAACATTTGACTGAGCTTCTCGCGGAGCGCATTGTAAGATCTGAGAACCGATAGGTCTAGTGTTCGTCCAACATCCTCAGCCTCCATGAACACTTTACAATGTCTCGTTGTCTCCAAGTTAAAAGAACAATCGTTAGAAGATGTTTTCTCATGATGGAGTACTGAGATTTCTTGCTCGGTGAGGATTGGCCTTCCGAAAAGAACAAACCGCGGCGGTACTTTCGGCTCCTCTTTGTTCTTGATCGAGTTGTTTTGAGCCATTGTTAGCAAACAAGAAACGTTGTTATCGCTTATGTTAGTTGCTGAGGCTGGTCTAGCGGATGATTGAAACTTGGAATTGTTGAATTGAGTGTGCCTGGCTCCCTGCATGCCAACAGGAACATTGTTGTTGTTGTTGTTGTGGTATCCGGTTAGAAAGTTTCTTGACCCGAATAAGTTTGAAGCGAATTTCGGAATCGGAAACTCGTTGGGGTTGATTGAGAAATCCGGCGGTTGAAGCAGTCTAGGCCTCTTAAACGGTGGTGAGAATGGAGAGAGGTCCAAAGCAGGTATGATAGAGACAGGTTCCACGAGCCATGGACTCACTCGTTTAACGTTTTGCAGCATCTCGGGCTCGTCCCACGCCACTTCAAGAAGCCTCCAAGGAGAATCGGGCCAGTGGATAGTATCCGCGGGTCGAACGGCTGAAACGTTTCCCATAAACCAGCTTATCCGCGAGGAATCCTCGGTTTCAAACGCCATCTTAAACCTCATCCCACCGCACCATCGAACCATCATTGCTTGCCTCACCGTTCCTGCCATAACGCAAAACTCCGGTGTGCTCATTCTCGGGTGATAAAGCACCTCAAACGCCTTCCCACTCGCGGCCTTTAAAGCCGCTTCAACAACCATCTCAGCGCTAACTCTCGAACCGCAACCACCGTTTGCATTTTTAATCATAAACGCAGAGAAACAAGAATCCGACAAGCCGCTCCAACCGCTGGAAGATGTCTTCATCTCACCGTGGGACTTCATCCTCCTAACTCCGATGCAGAGATCGCCACTAACCGCTCTCAAGAACACAACGGAGTCTCCAGCCATGAGTCTCTTGTGGTTCACAAAAGCACTCCAACCCGTCGTCAGCAAATGGCGGCGCGGGGTCCCACGGTATATATGTCTGAACTTCCACGTCTCGCCGTGGATGTCTTTAGCTACAATGTTCTGAACCGGCGGGTCAGCCGTGAAATCTAGCCGTGGAAATATCGTATCTGCGCAATACCGCGGCACCGAGAATCCGCCTCCGTTGTTAGCATCAGACTGAGTCAGCGTCTTAGCAAAAGAAACCGGCGGCTGCTTAACATTGTCATCCAACACCTGTTCTTGATCTAATCCGGTTCCTGAAGAATTTGGAATCAAACCGATTTTCGCGTAAACATCGTCGGTTTTGGGGTCTGCGAGGAATTTGACGGAGGTAACGTTACAGAGAATCAACGGCGGGATCCTAGGGAGGTGAGTAAAATCGACGACGGCGGAAGAGGAGGCGTGCTCGGCGTGGCCTTGTGGAAAGTAGAATACTTTTGAACTTACCGGTGGCATCTTCACCATCCCGCCGGCGCAAGCGTGCCACAGCTCTGAGTCTAAGCTTTTCTCCATTTTTATAAAAGTTCTGCGATTACTAAAAACCCAAACTTTAGGAAGAAATGCAAAACTTAATAACCAGAGATTAAACTTAGATTAAGGAAAATGAGGAGATCTTCTTTTCACTTCTCACCAGAAAATCAAGGGGATCTTTTTATATTCTGGCCATTCTCATCGGAAAACTCTGTAGTCGCCGGAATTTCAACAGATCCAGAAAAATATCGGATTCGGCGCGAATCTCGGTTTCGTTTGCAACTACTACAACTCCATTTCTTTGAATCCTCGCAGCAAAGAAACAAACCTCAACTCAAATTTCACTTTTAGTCAAAATCGCTGCTGCTTTTCCCGAGAAACAATCCTAGAAACTTGTTTGTTATCAACTTCTGGAAACTTCAATCCACTTGCTTTATTTTTGTTTTACTCTGATGAAAATTACAAAAAAAAAGTCGCAAAGAAAAGTGATGGTAAGAGTTGGTACCCAGTAAGCACAAGACGACAATGGAACATCACATTATTTAATCGGAAAGCAGCAAGTCAAAGTTAAGACCGAACCAAAAATCTGAAGAACAGACAAGGAATTAAGATTTTTTAGAAAATAGCAAAAAACATACCGATAATGAAAGAGACCAGCTCTTTGGATCAATCCCAGAATCCAAAATTCCAGAAAAGTACAAAAGCCTGGGAGATAAACAGACTCTCTTCTTAGAGGTTAATTAAAGGTTAGAGACTTTTAGAGTAGAGAGAAAGTGAGAGAGATTTTCATTTGGCAAATTTGCAAGAAAAAAAAACAATTTCGTGATTGTTAATTAGCTTTTGATATGTAAAATTAAGCGTGGTTTCGAGAATTTCCTAGCGTTTAAGTAATTACTATCAGTCAAATATTAACAAGATTAGTCAGAATATTATTGTCTATTGATGCATACATAATTTTTATTTTTGAAGTCTTGAGCCCATCATCAAGCTGCTTATACTTAATACTGTACTTATATGTTTGTAAACTCTAACTAAGCTGAAGTCAAAAAATAAAGTATATATTATGCCATACGTACAATGTAAACATTCATAAAAAGTTGCGTACAACCTAATAATTTTCTTAATGAAACTCAACGAGTGATTCTATTTCGAATATGATTTTTATTTGTACAATTTGTGGTTAAGAAATTGAAGGCTGCGTTAGTTGACAAAGAGTTGTTGCCTAACATTTATACATTATACAGGGACGTAAATAAGTAAATAACAAGCATTTTTCTGTATTCGATACGTAATATATATCTTATTACAAAATTTATATGTACATTGATACAAACACCTTGAAAAGGAAAAAATCAAATAAGATAAAATAATACGAAGATGAATATAAAGATTTGGTAAGTTAGCTGGTATTTCTCGATATGTATTATTTACAGTATTAATGTGTGCGTGCATATTGTTGTTTTGAAAACCGAAAATGTAATATTTAACCGAAAAATGTAAACCGGCCCAGCCGTCGAAATTAACTGCCGGTTTTGGGGGGTTTCCAACTTTCCATTGCTGAAACTGATGAAGATTGAAGTTTTCAAGAGGCGAAAAATTCACAAGTCCAAGACCTTCTTTTTCTCCTCACTCTTCTGCTTGAGACTCGTTCTCTCTCTGTAGAATTTGCTAAAATAAGAGATGAGGATCCTTTTCCGTCAAATACTGTCTCTCACTCTCTCTCCTCTATCCTATCTTCTCACTTGTTGTTACTACTCTGTTTCATTACGAACTCAGATTCTGAAATTGATTTTCTTCCAAAATGGCGTTTATGAGACTTGGCTCCAAATCCGAAGCTTTCCATCGCGAAGGCCAAACCTGGTACTCCTTTTCTCCGTTATACCTCCCTGAATAAGATGAATCGACTTACGGGTCGTTAGTTTTACTCTGCAATCGCTTTGGGTTTCTCTTTTCATGGAGATTTCGTGTTAAGCTCTCGTTTTTTTCTTTTCATTTTGTTGAATTAAAGATGGGTTCTTATCAATGTAGCTAATTTCTCTCGTTTCATGCGGATTCTTCCTAGAGTAGCTTGCTTTTAATGAAATTTCCAAAAAAAAATATTCTCGCAATGTTCAAAACGATCTCATTTTGAAGAAAAGAGTTAGCTTCGATTGATTTGAGACATCAGTGGGGTGATGTTTATGTCTATGGTCTACAGGCTTTGCACCACAGGACTCGTGAGTGATGTTACCATAGAAGTTGGAGATATGAAGTTTCATCTCCACAAGGTTTAAATCTCTTTACATTCATGAAGTTGATGTGACTGCATAATGTGAAACGCTTGATGATTAACGAAGTTGTTTTCTTCTAATTGTGTAATGTCTGTCTTGATTTGGTGTAGTTCCCATTGCTCTCTAGAAGTGGGCTTCTTGAGAGGCTAATCGAAGAGTCTTCGACTGATGATGGATCAGGCTGCGTTCTGAGTTTAGACGAGATACCTGGAGGAGGCAAAACGTTCGAGCTCATAACAAAGTTCTGCTATGGCGTGAAAATCGAGCTCACTGCTTTCAACGTTGTTAGCCTTAGATGCGCAGCTGAGTACCTTGAGATGACTGATAACTATGGAGAAGGTAACCTTGTCGGTATGACAGAGACTTTCCTCAACGAAGTGTTTGGGAACTGGACGGACTCGATCAAAGCTCTTCAGACGTGCGAGGAAGTGATTGATTACGCTGAGGATCTCCACATTATCTCGAGGTGCGTTGATTCTTTAGCTATCAAAGCGTGTGCTGACCCAAGCCTTTTCAATTGGCCCGTGGGAGGAGGAAAGAACGCAACGAGCGTGCAGAACTCGGAAGACGAATCGCAACTGTGGAACGGAATCTCAGCGGCAGGGAAGATGCTGCAGCCTACAGGTGAAGACTGGTGGTTCGATGACTCTTCTTTTCTTAGCTTGCCTCTCTTCAAAAGGCTCATCACCGCTATCGAAGCAAGAGGCATGAAACTCGAGAACATCGCCATGGCGGTTATGTACTACACGAGGAAACATGTTCCTCTGATGAATAGGCAAGTGAGCATGGACGAGCAAGTGATTGAGACACCGAATCCTTCTGAGGCAGAACAAAAGGATGCTCTCGAAGAGATTGTCGGATTGCTTCCAAGCAAGAAAGGCGTAAACCCGACCAAGTTTCTTCTCAGGCTGCTTCAGACCGCGATGGTGCTGCACGCAAGCCAATCCTCGAGGGAGAATCTGGAGAGAAGGATTGGGAATCAACTGGACCAAGCTGCGCTAGTGGATCTTCTTATACCAAACATGGGATACTCTGAAACGCTTTACGATGTCGAGTGCGTGTTGAGGATGATCGAACAGTTTGTTTCTTCAACAGAACAAGCAGGGATCGTCCCTTCTCCTTGCATCACCGAAGAAGGACATTTGGTGAAAGATGGAAGCGATCTGCTAACTCCAACAACGTTAGTAGCAACTCTTGTGGACGGTTATCTCGCTGAGGTGGCACCCGATGTTAACCTGAAGCTGGCCAAGTTCGAAGCCATCGCTGCTGCAATCCCTGACTATGCAAGACCACTAGATGATGGAGTTTATCATGCAATCGACGTCTACTTGAAGGTAATACAAAAATGCTGCTTTTTTATATTAATCAATAGATATTATAAAGGATTTTTGAGATTTTAATTGCAATTTTTTTGCAGGCGCATCCGTGGATTACGGATTCTGAGAGAGAGCATATATGCAGACTCATGAATTGCCAGAAGCTCTCACTGGAAGCTAGCACGCACGCGGCTCAGAACGAGAGGCTGCCTCTTCGTGTGATTGTTCAGGTTCTCTTTTTCGAGCAGCTTAGGCTAAGGACATCTGTATCGGGCTGGTTCTTTGTCTCTGAGAATCTAGACAACCCGGAGAATCCAAATGCAGGGAATGGGGTTTTGCTTAAACCCAGAGGTGAGAACGTGAGAGAACGGGTTTCTGAGCTGGAAAAAGAGTGTATGAACATGAAACAAGAGCTTCAGAAGCTGGTGAGGTCGAAGAAAAGCTGGAAGAATTTCACCAGGAGGCTTAACTTCAAGAAGAAGTCAGAATGCTGCAAGCCCAAGGATCAAGCAACAGCAGCAACTTAGCAAGAACCGGTCAGCTGGATCCATCGATCAAACTACTCTGTTTTGATACAGAGCTACTACTTTTATCATCTTCTCTTTTTATTCAGTTAGGTAGAAAGATCATAACCTCGATGATCAAACAGATTAGCTTTGTTTTTTCTTGTTCTTGGAGATACTCTGTTTTTTTTTTCAAAAGTTTTCATCTTTATCTTAGTATCGTGCTAAGAGATTTGATGGTTTTAGATTCTTGTCACGGACTTATTGCAGAAACTGGGAAATGATAAACAAGAGATTTTTGTCGGAAAACATTTTAGTTACACCTTTTTTTAATGCAATTTCGGGGTGTTATTGTGCAGCCCCACAAGAAAACAATCTCAAGACACAAATCAACAGAAGGGAAATACAAATGACAAAGAATATATCATCACCGACTTAAACAAATAGTAAGAGGAAGCGAGAAATGTGTTCCGTTTCCAGATTCTTAACAGGACGGATAATCTTTGGGCGGTGGCAGAACGGAAAGCTCAGGTGTATTCCCGTTCTCGACGACGAAAGCCATCTTCAGACCCCACATTGTATGGACTTCCAAGTGACAGTGCATAAACCAAACACCTGCAACAACGTATGCATTGATCAGCTGATCTGCTTATCATATGATTATCATCTTAAATGTGCATTGACAGATCATACCTGGATTATCAGCTCTGAATCTGATGGCAGCCCAACCACCGGTAGGTACTCCAACGGTGTTTCTCTCGGGCGGGTCAATGAGATTGAACTTAGCCGGATCTGTCTTGGCGTCAAAGTTTCCAACGCCGGTTCCAACTACGAAGAAGTTATAGCCGTGAAGATGGAAAGGGTGTGACTCAACGGTTAGGAGATTGGTGTCTTGCAAGATGAGCTCAATCGTCGTATTGAACTTAACCCGGCTCAGTCTAGTTCCCGTAGCTGTTCCAAGGTTAGCCGTTAGTGGCACACCGGTGTAATTAAACGGTTTGGGTGGTCGGTCGGGAAAATCCGTCCTGAAAACTCCCGGGATGTTGAAGTAATGAGCTTTCAAGAGCGCTGTTTTAGGCATAATGAATGTGATGTTGTTGATCGAAGCCGCGAGGTTCGTCCCGTTCACACACGTCGGGCACGCGTTGATGCCTAGACCGATGGTGTAGAACAGTCGCCGGTCGACTTTTAACGGTACAAGAGCCGGAAAATTTGGTGTGTTGAGGCTCCTGAGCTTTCCGGTATAGTCCAAAGCGAATGACGTGTCGTTAGGTTTAGGAAGGGTTGGTAAAATCGGTATGACCGTGTTTGGTACGCCTTTGTATTGAAGAATCGCGGTTACGGTTTTGTTGTCTACTGAGACTGGAGCGTCCATGAACGGACTAGCTGCCATGAAGTAGCGGTTTGGAGCGCGGTCGGTTTTGACCAGAACGTTTGTGGTTTGACCTGGTCCGAGTAAAATGGCTTTGGTTGTGAACGGTTTAGTGTAAACCGCGTCGATTTCAACCACGGTCATGTCGTGTCCCGCAATCCCAAAGAAGAGCTCGTCGTTTAGCGCCGCGTTTATAACCCTTAGAAGGTATGTTTTGCCCGCTTCCACCTCTACCACGAATGTGTCTATACAGAAAAAAAAAAAAAAAATTGATTTATATCATTGCAACATTTCTAGATTCTGGTTCGATAAGAAACGGTTTTATAAGCTTTTGAAATTTTACGTTTCTCTGAACACGGAAAGAGTGGTCCAGGTTTTCCGTTTATAGTATGAGCATCTGACATCGGAGGCGGCGTGCCCAGCTGGTTTGCTTGGTTAACCGCCGTCTCAACGTCTCCGTTCCACCATTCTCCTACAATCAAATTTAAACACGGGAAATGAGAAAAGAAAAAAAATCCAATAGTTAGACCGGACCAGGCTTAACCGGTACTAACCAAGGATTATGTTGGTTTCTTGGTATGGCTGTGGGAACGGATACGGTTTTCCCGGTTGAGGCAAGATGACGATAGCTCCATACACGGTAGCTCGTAGCCAGAGGATGTGTGCGTGCCACCAGAGAGTCCCACGTTGTCCGGTCACATTGAAATCATAAACATAACTCTGTCCGGTCTGCATCGGACACTGAGTTATGTATGCTGGACCATCGGCCCAACCGTTCCGGTACTGTTTAAGCCCATGCCTATAAACAAACCGTTAAAATTTTAGTTCATATTAAAAAATGACTAAACCGGTTTTAGGCGTAGGGAAAGAGAGAGTTTACCAATGGATGGACATATTGTATTGTACATGGTTGGTGACGTTGATGATGACTCGATCACCTTCTCTTGCGTAAACCGTTGGTCCAGGGAACATTCCGTTAACCGTGACAATCGGTTTAGCATTGCATAACCGGCTTACGTTCTTCATTTGAACCTGTGCCAAATGCCAAACGTTAGTAGTACACAAAAACCTCATATCAAGTGTAACTCAAATATATTAGCCGGTTCCGGTTTGTTATCACCGAGAATCCAGTACGTACATCGAATTGGTACTTCTTCACCGCCGCATCCACCGAAGAATCGCCAAGAAACCCAAGAAGATAAAAGAAGAGAAAGAGAAAACCCGGGTTACGGATTATCTTCATTTCCGGTTCAGTCTTCCGGTTTGATGCAATGGTGATATTTGATTTGTATTAAATCTTTTATTGCCTTTGGTTTTACAGATTGTATTGAAAATGTCGTGGCTGGTTTCAAATGCTTATATAGTGTCATAATTCAAACAAAAGGTTGGTGAATCTCTAAAAATATATTAAAAAAAAAAATGTCTAGAGATGAGAAATTCAATGTGAAAAACGGATTAAGATACATTATTAAGAAGAAAATAAAAATATATAATCGAAGAAGAAGGCTTTTAAGCAACTTTCTGAAAGACGTTGGTGAATCAGCGTAACGTTTGTTAATAATATGGAGTACCTTCGAAGTTGATATCTGAGCTTTAAATTAATATTTTTGACTTTTTCGTTTGCCATGAAAAATTAAAAAACACCAATATTCCAATTTTTCAACTCAAGTCTCTCTAATTCAAGAAAGTTTCTAGATGCCTCACCATACTTGATTTTAATCCCAAAGGCCCTCGAGATCAAAGATGAGGCTACTTTTACTATATTTCTTTTTATATACAAAAGACCCTCAAGTTCGAAGGCATAATCTTCTTTTTAACAAAATAAGAATTCATTTCCGTAAAACCGAGCTTTCAGCATTTTCAGAACTCGCTTATTATATGAGTAAATAGATATGATTAACTATATTTGGATTTTGAATTTTGTCTCAGTGATATTTTTATATTAACATACAACCCCCTAAAAAAATTATGAGATTTAATTTCTGAAAGCTTGCTTTGCAGTAACATGTTGCTTAGCCACTCGTTTAGTCAGTATATTTTATTTGTATTTCGTAAATATTCGGTTGCAATTGTATAGTGATGTTTTTGGGTAAGGGAAAATGACTGATCTTCGAATAAATTTTTTATTATTTATTATTCCAACGAGATGACATGTATAGTTTTCAAAATTCAAACCCTAACCAACGTATTTTATAATTTACAGGTACGGAAATTGGTCAATTTATCAGGAAATTACGCTATTGACCGGTCAAATTATACCAATTGGTTGAATCATCTGATCAAACACTTTGGATCCAACAGCCCATATTTAAAACGATAAGACAACTCGTTTTCAAACTACTGTAAGTAAACCCAATATTAGCTAATGGTCACAGGCCCAAATGGAATGTATTAGGTCTACAGCTCCTTTGCTTCTAATTTTCTTCTTTTTGTAAATTTTTTTTATATAAATTAAGTAGAATAAATAAAAAATCATTTTTAACATTTATTGGTGATCACTCATTGTAAGTTTGTAACTCATAAAATATGGTATCTCGGTAATTTTTTTTTTTTATCAAATAAACAAGCTGATAGATCAATCACATAAAAGGACTCAAAGATGAGGATAAGGATCTTCCCATTTAAATTTTAACTTTGTCTTCAGAGCTTTTACGAACTTTCCACTATCTAATATATATATTTTCCCTGTTTCACCACACTTATTTAAATATTTATTCGTCACTTTATATATCCAACTACTTTTTAGAAGTCGGCTGAATGGTCCTTACGGATGATGGTTTATAACTAAGTTGGTGGAAAAAACCGATCTTACTATTGGTTTGTTGGCTCTATCATAAATAAACCGAACCATACCTAAGTAAATTACTATTTATAGTAGGTTGATTTACCGACTAGTCAATTGGTTTTGGTTATTCAAAAAAAAATCGAACGATTGATTTTTCGATCATGTGATCGGTTTGGAAATTTAATTAACTTAAAAATGTTTTGAAACATGAGCTCTCCAAGACTCCAAACACACATGATTTTTGTATGATAAACAATATTTTCAAGTACAGTTTAACTAGTTAAAGAGTGTATCGTATATTATAGTATACGGTACCAAATTTGAATAACACTTTCATATGCATGCATGGATGGTTTAGAATCTAGAAAATTAGATGTCAAATCAATATGCATTCGACTACGACATGTTTCACCTTGTTTGTGCAATAACAAATTTGGATTAGGAATTATGGAGAGACAGCACATTGCTTTGGCAAAAGCGGAATCCCTCGTATTAATGTCACACAACTAAGTAATTTAGCAAGGCCCACCAAATGGCATAGTAACATATTTGAGTTAATAAATTACCATTATACCCGGCTCTGATTTTGCCACGTACTGTAACTTAGTATGCTTATCTTTATCCAAACAATGTATATGGGGACTGGTGAGTGATTATTGTAAACTTATAGAATACAAAAATCTCACTCGATATTTTAAAATAAGATCAGCCTTGTCCTCAGTTTCGAAACATAAAATTAAATATTTCTTTAAAAGAAAGTATAAGAAAATTCTGAGCCATTCAGAACAGAGAACTCCTATCTATTATCATGAACAGAAACATGATATAACGACAAGATTTCAGAAGATAGTAGATACTTTCTTTTTCGGGGCCATGCAAAGAACTCCTTTAATTCTTGGGGATATGGCCAAAAATGCAACTTTTTTTTTCTCTAAAATAATAAATATGCAACTTTAATAGAATTATTTTAACATGATTAAGGATTAGTCTAAATTTTGATCAATATTACATTCTCCTTCTAATAATATTTACATAATAGTTTAGACAGCCAATAATTTAGGTGTAATTGATCGAAAAACATTCATAAGAAATTTGGAATCTAAATGGCGGATTGATCAGATAGAGACAATTTTATCAATAAAACATTTAATTATAGTTGCAATTTGCAAATATGTTAGGTAAAAAAATACAAAGAATAGAGAAATAGTGCTCCACTGCTTGTGATCGCCACTAGGGATCGTGATATCGGTTAGAAATACAACCAGAGGAAACGCAATGCCAAAGAGTGGTACACACGTGTGTCCACATTTCCCACGTGCCTAATTAAACTCTCTCTCTCTCTAAGATATCGGAAAGAGAATCCACGCTATAAAGGAAGCAGAACCTAAGAAAGGATTGGACAGAAGAAGAGAAGTAACAAATAATACGATTCGTCTACAAAAAAGTTATCCTTTTTTTTTGTCATAGGAATCATAAACAAACAAACATAGAGAAAAAAAAGGCTTGGGACTTTTATAATGGAGGGTGAAGAAGAGATGGCGAAGAAACAGAGTTCAAGGTTTAAGAGCATTTGTGTCTTTTGTGGGAGTAGCAATGGCAAGAAAGCTAGTTATCAAGATGCAGCCATTGACTTAGGCAAAGAAATGGTAAAAGATTATGCATTAATATACATTATTTTTCCCAATACCTGTATTTTATTTACATATAATCACAGTTAAGATTCTAAAAAATGATTTTGTATAATGAAATTGTATGTATTTGAGATTTCTTTATCACTAAAGACATTAATTTGGGTTTGTGCATAAACTTCACCTTTCTTTTTAAGATCATGAGGGCTCTATATTTTGATGGATAGGTGTCGAAGAACATTAATCTTGTTTATGGTGGAGGAAGCATAGGTTTGATGTCTCTCAAGCTGTTCATGATGGTGGTCGTCATATTATTGGGTAATTAATAATTTGCATCATAATTCTCATCACTGCTTTTTTCTTTCTTCTAAAATCATAATATAAAAGTATGGTTTTTTAATCCTATGATGCAGAGTCATCCCCAAGCTCCTCATGATGCAAGAGGTATTATATAATTGGCATCATTAGAAAATAGGACTAATAGTATAAGTAATGGTGGTGATAATAATGCTCTTTGTCGCTCTTTCTCTCTATTTCACACATACAAAAAGATTACTGGAGAAACAGTAGGAGAAGTGAGGGAAGTTGCAGACATGCATCAGCGAAAAGCTGAGATGGCTAAGCATTCCGATGCTTTCATTGCTTTGCCTGGTAATCTCTCTCTCTCTCTCTCTCTCTCTCTCTCTCTCTCTCTCTCTCTCTCTCTCTCTCTCTCTCTCTCTCTCTCTCTCTCTCTCTCAAATAATAACCTCAATTATGAAAACTTGTTTTACAAACTCTTTTGTGAAAAACCTTCCCACTAAATTTCGAGTACAATGTATGATTCTGAAGTATTCAAATAAGACATCCATTTTTTTGTTCCTTAAGAACTTACATCGAATATTGGATTCAGATTCGGATTCACATGTTTACCGCGTTAACAAACCATATAATATGAAAATAAATTTTATTCATTGTTATTATAGATAATTTTGATGATAAGAGTATTTAATTAATCTATATGTTCCAAAATTTAGTTTGGATTTAGGTCCAGAGTTTTTTTTTTTTTGGTAAAATGTTAAATATTTAGGTCCAGAGTTTATAGAAAAAACATACGTATTGTTAGTGTTCACTGAATATTTTGAAAGTTAATTAGTTAGATGTGTGGTGGTGGTGATATGCTTTTTTGCTTACATTTGTGTATGTTGGTGCTTTAATATTGTTTCGTCATTATACAAAACACTTTCTTTAAAGAGTGCGTTTAATAAGCTAATTACATGTGGTTCATATAATTATGGAAGATCCAGGAGTCAAAGAATTAAAAGAATCACGATAAATAGTTTTAAAATAAAGTGAAAAATCAACATCCAAAGCAGCGATAATTTAAACGTCGACAAAGGACATCTGTTTCTTGTCCAATTTGAGATATTTTAATGTTGTCAATATATCTAGAAAATAATATTTTTTGAACAGACATGAAAATATCATATTATCGGTTGCATAATATTTGTTTTTTCTTTTTCGGGTATCGTTCGTATTACATAATTAGTTAGGAATGCGATTATTCCGAGAAGGTCAAAATGGTAATTGTGTTAGCAAATTGTTGTGATCATCATTATTGCACTAACGCTTGACCTTTGACTTAAAAAGTACCAAGTACTTATCATAATTCAGATGTTGACTTTTCTTTAGAGGTCAAAAGTGAAAGTGAAAAATAAAATAATATCTTCCGAAATTTAACCATTCGTGCCACTTGGCAAATTCAACGAGTCTTCCCTACCTATATCATCATCAGGTGGCTATGGTACGCTAGAGGAGTTATAACTTGGGCACAACTTGGTATACATGATAAACCGGTATGTAAACCGGGTTAGTTTGATATATGTGTACCAAGAAAAATACCGAAATTAATCGATGAATGATTGATAGAATTTGGGAATTTTTTTCTTGGCAGGTCGGTTTATTAAATGTTGATGGATATTATAATGCCTTGTTATCATTCATCGACAAAGCCGTCGAGGAGGGATTTATTCTTCCAGCCGCTCGATATATCATTGTATCTGCACCAACTGCAAAAGAGTTATTTATAAACTTAGAGGTAAAACTGAGAAAGAATAAATTAGACCATCTAAATCTGGTTTAATTTGGTAATCAAGCCACTTAATCGAATAATTCAACAAATGTTTTCCTTGTTTTTTCTTACTATCTCACTAGTTGGTGCCAGTACTAGACCGAGTTTAGTTTTAACAATGCTGATCAAGTTGATTGGTTTATTGCAGGAATACGTGCCTCGACACGATAAATAGATGGTCAATTTGAGCTTGGAGACGATTTGTGACGAAAAGTCTTGAAAATATGATGTTTGAATTAGGGAGTACAAAATGCAAATACGTTTTCTGAGTTTTGTTCATGCGGTATCCGAAATTTCGTTTCATCATTTTGTTATGTATACTATAAAGTATAAACTAGTGCACTGTGTTTAACTTTCAGTGAGTTCATATACGTAAACGTTTGTTGTGTTGGAAATCAACTCACCTTTCAACCTTTGTGAAGTTGTGATTTCACCAGTTTTGCTTGCTAAACCAATTGTGTGTGTACGTTTTTATAACTGGATATACGTCTTATGATGTCACTTAAAGTGTTAAACAATATTAGGTTATTAGACAAAAAACCATTAGCACGAAAATATGGTGAAATCACAACTTCACAGGGTTAATTTTTTAATAAACAAAAAAGAAGCGAATATATGAGATATTCGTTTCAGCTGAGTCAATTACTGTGAGATGACGCTTAAACCAAATAGTAATCAATTTTGCTCCATAAATCTTGATAACACTGTGTTATTAACACATTTAACTGTATAAGTTTTGCTTTTGAATCTCCAATGACAGATTAATCATAGTAAACAATTATGAATGTGTTGATAAATCGATTAAATTTACTTACAGAAAATTAATTGAAATACGATTTTCTCACAAGTCCTGAGCCAACTCCTCTTTAATAGCAAAAATAAAACCATAACACAATCTTGAATTCTCCTATTTGATTAATATCCGTATGTCTCTCCTCCTAAAACAGCCCTGATTCGATCTTATTCCTATTGTCTCCACGAAATAACTCTACTAAATTAAAAATAAATCCAACAAACATAAAGAAACCCCACTTGATTAACCGAAAACATTTGTTGAATCGAACCAATTAATTGAACAATTAGCGAGTCTGATTTGTAACTGACGTCTCTTGTTTCGAGGTTAATTAGTAAATGATCGAATCTCTAATTCTTATGAACCCACCCACCATGTGTTTTTAGCACAAGAAAGATTCAGTGAACCCGGAAGGAAAATAATTTCAATTGTCTCTTACACTAATGAAAGGTTATGTTACAAAATCGAATTTATTAATAGATTAATAATAATTAATTATTTGTACACACAGCCCAAAAGATCACAATCTAGTTAAAAAAGAGAGACAAGAAAGATTCTCTAAGCTGATAAATGATCTGTACCATGTAGCTTTGTTCCCTTTTTGGTGCTTACTCTGACTTAACTGCCCAAACATCAACGAGACTCTAAAAAAACTAACTTATAACAACAAAATAATTAGTTAAATTGATTTATTGGTCAAAATATCAAGCTATCTCCATTGATATTATAATTTCCATTTGAAAGGGAAATTTGACTATCTGACCCATTACTTCAAATTCTGAGTTGTTTTAATTTGGTCATTGGTACGGATAATTTTTTTTGTACTTTTAAAAAAAAAAATTTAAACAATGCTCGAGTGTAGGCTACACCGCCTACACTAATTATTTAGTGAATAATAGATTGATGAAATGTCATAAACAAAATTCGAAACCACATTAAAAGTTCCAGAAGTATATCTACTGTAATTTGCAAAATGAAAGTGAGTATGTTTTTTTGAACAAGGGCTTTCTAATGAAAGTGAGTTTTGTATTTGCTTTTTTTTTTGTTCTCTTCAATCGAAATAGCATTTTTATTCGTCAAATCAAAGTTGGATATACATAACTAAACATTGTACGCAGTATGAATTCCACATATATTTGTAGCTATTATTTTTCGTTTTCAACAATATAAGCTGTGTATAGTGTGTATATATATATATACATATTATAAAAAAACAAGTGTGGTCTGTATGTTATGGTTCATTGAACATATACATCAACATAGGACTAGGAGGAGCCCATGTTCTTTTCATTGATGCAAAAATTTAGTTTCTTGTGTTTTAATTTGCTTCCTATCCAATAAACATATATCTACATGTGTGTGCCTATATATATATATAGTTTCTCAAGAGCATGGATAATGATAAGTAAGTTAAATATATATAGTGACAACTTAAATAAAAGCCAAAAATGCAAATTAGGAAAAATAGTAAGGTACAATGTATATGAGTAACGAAAGCCCAAGCTGTACTTCCATTGATGTAGGAGATGATTGGAAACACGTGGATTGTTTTGAATAAAACCGTACCAATTCTTTTCTTTATTTTGGGTTTAGTGTGTTGTTTCACTAGAGTATTTATTCATTCGGAGGTTTATAATGAGTTTCTAACATTGATTTATTTTATCAGGTGTGTATCTCTCTGCTAATAAAGAAAAATCCACCCAATTAAATATTATTATTGTTTTTTTTAATATGAAAGACTCATATGAAAAATCCCAATATAATTTTTTTTAGTTTGATTCTTTATGATTTGGTTTACTTTACTTTTTCATTTCAATCCGTATCAATATATAGCATGTTTTTTTATATTTAATCTAAGTTATGTTACATAATGAGTGTGTTGAAAAAAAAAATCAGATTTAAAAATTAACTTCCAACATTATAAAATTAAATATAGCATGACAACTTGAAAAAAATCACCACACAAGATATAACAATAAACATGACACTTGGCAAAATTATGTAGTCTAATATAGTAGCTTTAAAATGTTTAAATAAATATATATAATTTATTCTTGATCATTTTACTCTCAAACGTTATAATATCAGCTGTAAATAAGTTAATGGATTATGATGGTATATATGATGGTATAAGTTGTAATATCAACTTATCAACTATGCATAGAAATTGTTACAAAATGTTACATCACAACTTGCACTATGTAATGCTTATTTCTTTGAGTGATACACATATAAGAGTTCATTGTACTCATTTTTGTTATAAATTTTGATTTTACTTTTTCCGTTCACAAAATAAAGTACAAAATTTCTATTAAATCACAACAAACAAACAAAAATTATTAAACACATTTCTGTTATTTTTGTTATAATATTACCATTTACAAATATTATCAATGGGAAAATATTTTATGATAAATATATTTATATTCAGTTTTTAAAAAAGAAAAACATAATCCTAAATATCTTAGTTATATTTTTTTCTTCTGAAAAATGTGTTGGTGGTTGTTTTGTTTTTAATTGAAATGTTGTGACAAAATTATTTTTGAATTATCATCATTATTTTTCAGAAACTAATAAAATTTTGTTTACTTTATAAATCAACATTTGCATGTATTTTAATAGAATTACTTTTCAAATAAATTTTAAATATTTTTTACTTAAATATTTTTCAATTTACTTTATAAAATATTTAGTATTTATACTAATAGGCCCGACTCATAAATTGATGGGCCGTGTGTAATATTTTTTTTTTAAGTACAACGGAAAAAATATGAAAAAATAATAAATTTTTAAAAATTTACTTTAAAATCTTATCAAATTCTGCAAAAAGTTAAGAGGATTCTGTGCACATGTATCTTGAGCACATACCTAAAATCGGTGCGTTACTAATCATAACTTTTTTTTTGTCAGCTATCAGTCGGAATTATGTTCGTATTATCATTATGTACTACCATTATCTGTACTGTCATATTTCATATCATTTATATTTTTATAAATATCTAACGTAACGTCTCAAAATTTTGTAACGCATCATATCACTAATCAAATTTTATAATTAATTTTCATAAAAATATGTTTTAATATTACATCAGCCATATAAATAAGCTTGATATAAATTACTTATTGATTAATAGTAGATTTTAGCTCTTACAAATTTCAGCAACATCTATTTTTAAAGCTTTTAAACAAATTTTTTGTGTGTGTTAATTTTGTGATAAGAAGACACATCAAATAAAATCCGTGTGCAATTAATATTGATATATACATATGAAATAATTAAATATATCACATATATGATATCTATTACTTTTTTGTTTGTTTGTAACATCTATGATATCTATTCTAGTTAGTAATTATACATAAAGGCTTGCCATATAAGAAAGAACATGCTATTTTTAGTATTATGTGGAGTATAATGTCCAATCCTGTTTTACTTCCCATTTATATATTCATGGATGCCATTAACGCTCTCATTTATTGTTTCGTTTTTATTTATTTTTCAAAATCAAAAAATAAAAATAAATATAACTTCACCTTTTGAACGTCTATTTGTATCGGCAACTTCTGTTAGGTGTGTCAAATAATGAAATAACATATTTTTTCGAACGAAGTTTTGAATTTTATATTTGCAAATGTTTTTCGCCCCATACATATGCAAATGGTAAAGTAAAATTTCATTATATTGCAGGCATTTTTTTTGTCCACTATTTTCAGGCACTTTAATTTAAAAAATCAAATACTTTCTAGAACATAAAGTTACCGATTTGATTAAAAATTTATGGTCAGAACCAAGGACTAACTCATTTTTATACATATTTTTAAAATTGTAGATTTTATTTATTAGATTAGATAAACTAAAATATAAAAAAAATTATTAGAGAAGTTACATTCCAAATGATCTAACTTAAAAACCAATTCCGAATAAACTAACTTAAAAACCAAAAATAAAAGAGAGTATATTTTTTTTTGACTGAGGACACATTATTTGATTTAGCAATCCCATTTAAAAATGTACTTCGATGTTATTTTTAAAATAATAATTATCTTGTCCACTTATCTTGGAATCAAAAACTAACGATTAGTTTCAATATAATAAAGAAAGAGTTAAGATATTTGTAAACCTGAATTTAATTAAAAGACGTTTTTATAGCCATAAAAAAAGAATATACTTTCTCTTTATATATGTAATAAATCTTTTCTTTCTCTCTCTCTTTCTTTCTCTCTATTTCTCTGTTTCTCTCTCTTTCAAGGTGGCACAAGCACCCATAACCTTCAGACCTATAGATACATCATACATGTGTATGTATATGTAATTTTTATATATTATATATTGATTTTGGATCTCTTTATCTCTCTCTCTTGGACGGAACTGAGCTCTTTCTCTCTTTCATTTTCTCTCTCTCTCTCTCTCTCTCTCTATCTCTCTATCTCTCGTTGGCTTGATAAGAGTTTTCTCTTGAAGATCCGTTTATACGCCTCTCACTGGTTAATTAGGTCAACTTGCGATCATGGCGATTTCACAGGTGACGTCTTTTACTATATCCTGAATAAACCCTAATTCTCTGTTTTGTTTTGTTTCTTAATTTTTCTTCTCTGGAGCCTTTGTA